AGGCTTCCAAGTCCCCTGCCCTGATCAGGGTTTAGATGAGGATTCTCTGCCCTTCTGTGGATCCATGCTGTTTCTAATTAGGGTCGTGATGTTGTTGCTGTTCAGTTGCTAAGTCGTGTCCAACTCTGCAACCCCATGGATGCCAGGCTCACCAGGCCCCTCTGTTCATGGGATTTCCCTGATAAGAATACTGGAGTGGGTAGGGATATGATGCAAAGACTCAAATAGCCCCAGTGTGGTGGATGATATGATCGTTGGGGGACTGATGGAAGCACAGACGAACGGCGGCTACCGCCCAAATGTGATAGCCGCTGTGAGAGAGACGGCCAGACGCGACCCCTTAGAGTGGTGCCGTCCAACCTATGAGGAGAGGGTGAGAATGTTCCAGGCAGAGGGCTGGTGTGAGCAAAGGCAGAGAGGCCAAGAAAGCATGCCAGGAGGGAGTGAGCTTGTGGCAAGAGGAGAAGAGGAGCAGAAGAGGAGACTGCAGAGGCCAACAGGGGTCAGAACCTGGAGGTCTCTGTGCGGAACGTCAAAGAGCTTGAACTTACTTTGGCTGAAAATGAGGAGCCAGTGAAGAGTTATGAAGGGAGGAAGTGACTCTGGTAAGGGTTTGTCATCTGTCAAATGGGATAGCAGTGGTAACTGCCTCACAGGGTTACTGGAGGATTAAGAGATGATCCATACAAAGTATTTTTTAATAATTTATTTTTCTTAATTTTTAAAATTAGCGTTATTTATTTATTTTTGGCTCCACTGGGTCTTTGTTGCTGCGTGAGGGTTTTCTCCAGTTGTGGGGAGCAGGGGCTACTTTCTAGTTGTGGTGCGCCAGCTTCTCATTGCAGTGGCTTGTCTAGTTGCAGGGCAAGGGCTCAGTAGCTGTGGCCCATGGGCTTAGTTGGCCCCTAGAAAATGCTTATTAGACATTCAGTGATGCTGCTGCTGGTGTTGGTACTGTCCTGCAGTGAAGAGTGAGAGCAACTCTTGCAGACCACCCAGGCAGTACAGAGTGAGTGAGGTTCAGCAGGGTGGACAGAGACTAAGACCACCCTTATATAGATATCCAGCAGGCCATGGATATCTGCTGTCTGCCCGCTAAAGAGGAAAAGGCAAGCTTCCTGGTGTGGCCCCTCCCGGCCTCTTTCTCACCCACTAGGCTCCAGCCACCTTATTGTGTTTCTGATCTTCAAACATCCCATCCCCGGGCCTTCGACACAGCTGTTCCCTCTGTCTGGAAGGACCTTCCCCTACATCTTCTCTTGGATGCCACTTTCTTGTCACGGAGCTCTTGGATCAAATGTCATTTCCTCTGAAAAGCCTTTTCTGAGCCTTGGCGTATCAGCTTTATCTCCAGAAAAAGCAATCTTACTTGCTTTTGGGTTTAATGTCTGTTGCTCCCTATCCCCTCGTAACAGACTGAATTGTGTCTTCCCCGACCTGTAATTCATTTGTTGAAGTCCTGACGCCTGTACCCCAGAATGTGACTGTATCTGGAGATGGAACCTTTAAAGAGGTGATTACGTTAAAATGAGGCCCTTAGGGCAGGCCCCGATCCAATCTGACTGCTGTCCTCAGAAGAAGGGGAAATTTGGACACAGAGAAGGGTGAATGCACAGAGGTACTGTGGGAAGAGGAAGCAAGAGGGTGGCCATTGGCAAGCCAAGGACAGAGGCTCCAGGAGAAATCAACTGTTTTGGCATCTCGGACTTCCAACCTTTAGAACTGCGATCACACAAATGAGTGTTGTTTAAGCTACCCGGTTTGCAGTATTTTGTTAGGGTAGCATATTAGCAAACAAATATACTTCTAGGTGTAACTTCCATAAAGGCACAGAGTATGTCTTTCTGGTTTGCCACGGTGTCCTTTATGTCCCTCATTTATTGAACACAGACTAGCACATGGGGACCCTCAGTAGGTGAGATGACCTCTGTTAGAGATTTATTCTTTTCAAGCTGTTCTGGGAGACATGGCCTGTCAGCCTGTATTCAGCTATTAGCAAAGTGGATTCAGTGAGATGATGCCTTCCTGGAGACAGAGTTCAGGGGCTGAGAGGAGGAAAAGAAAGTGAAGTCGCTCAGGCGTGTCTGACTCTTTGTGACCCCATGGACTGTAGCCTACCAGGCTCCTCCGTCCATGGGATTTCCCAGGCAAGAATACTGAAGTGGGTTGCCATTTCCTTCTCCGGGAGATCTTCCCGACCCAGGGATTGAACCCAGGTCTCCTGCATCGCAGGCAGACGCTTCACCGTCTAAGCCACAAGGGAAGTCTGAGAGGAGGGGTACCCCACGAAGGTTTGATTATAAAAGGCGGGAGGACAGACCCGGGCGGTTTCCATCATGGGGCTGTCTGAGTAAGCGCTTACAGGTCTAGACGCTGACAGCAGAGACAGTGGGGCAGAAAGGACTGGGAGAAGTCAGGGGCAAAGCCCGTCAGAGTAGCCTCATTAGGCCATTGGCTCAGGGCTTCAAAGTGAAAGTCACTCAGTCATGTCCGTCTCTTTGTGACCCCATGGACTATACAGTCCATGGAACTCTCCAGGCCAGAATACTGCAGTGAGTAGCTGTTCCCTTCTCCAGCGGATCCTCCCAACCCAGGGATTGAACCCAGGTCTCCTGCATTGCAGGCGGATTCTTTACCAGCTGAGCCACCAGGGAAACCCAAGGATACTGGAGTGGGTAGCCTACCACTTCTCCAGGGGAGCTACCCAACCCAGGAATAGAACTGGGGTCTCCTGCATTGCAAGCAGATTCTTTACCAACTGAGCTATGAGGGAAGCCCTACGTTCCATCAAGGCCCTCAAATTTAGTCTTTAGATATTATCTCCCAAAGAGATTACAACTAGCCATGGATACCCCCCGTTGGCTTGAAAAAAGATGCTCATTTGAACAGCTGTAATTGCAAAATGCAAATATCAAGAATATTCTAGAACCCATCTTTCAAGACCTACCCTCAACATCTGACACAGTGATTTTTCTCCTGCTCGCAACATTCTCTTCACTTAGCTTCCTTCTCGGTCTCCTCTGTTGGTTCCCACTCATCTCATCCCTCAGCCTTAAACGTTTATTTTCAGAAGTCAGCCAGAGCGATCCTTTAGTGTCTTTGCACCCGAATTTCCTCTGCTGAAACACACTTTCTCAAAACTGATTCCCTTTCAGATTCTCGCCTGAATGTCACCTTCTCAGTGAGGTCTCTTCCCTACCACCATATTTTAAAAAAATATTTATTTATTTTGGCTGGCTGGGTCTTTGTTGTGGTGCATGGGCTTTCTCTAGTTGCAGTGACTGTGGGTTACTCTCTGCTACTCTCTAGTTGCTTTCCTGGTGGTTCAGATGGTAAAGAACCCACCTGCAATGAGGGAGACCTGGGTTCAATCCCTGGGTTGGGAAGAAACCCTGGAGAAGGGAACAGCTACCCACTCCAGTATTCTGGCCTAGAGAGTTCCATGGACATGGGAGGATGGCAGGCTACAGTCCATGGGGTCGCAGAGTGGAATATGACTGAGCAACTTTCAATTTCTCTAGTTGCAGTTTGCAGGCTTCTCATTCCAATGGCTTCTGTTGTTGCAGAGCATGGGCTCTGGTGTGCAGGCTCAGTAGTTGTGGCACACAGGCTTAGTCACCCCATGGCATGTGGAATCTTCCTGGACCAGGAATAGAACCCATGTTCCCTGCATTGGCAGACGAATTCTTAACCACTAAACGACCAGGGAAGTCTCCCTACTACCTTATTTAAAATTGCACTTTCTCCAAACTTCCATCCCTTTTTCCTCTTTACCGCTTACCACCAAAAGACTTCCCACATGTGTTTCTCATTTAGTATTTGTCTCCTCCGACTTGTATGTCAGCTTCAGGAGACCAGAGGTTTGTCTTATGTTTACTGCCATATCACTACTACTAGAATAGGGCCTGACACATAGTTGAGTTCAGTTCAGTCCCTCAGTCTTGTCCAACTTTTTGCGATCCTAAGGACTGTAGCACACCAGGCCTCCCTGTATATCACCAACTCCCAGAGTTTACTCAAACTCATGTCCATTGAGTCGGTGATGCCATCCAATCATCTCATCCTCTGTAAACATAGTAGTCTCAAAAAATAAATGTCTGAATGAATGCTAAGAAATTGATTTAAAGATGAGAGTTTAAAGTATGATTTTTTTCCCCTAGAGGATTGATATATTAAGTAATTACTGTGGGCATCAACATAACAGCTGAAGTAAGAAGAGTAGATATTCAAGGCGTTTTTGTCCTTCAGTCACTGTCATGTCCAACTCTTTGTGACCCCAAGGCCTGCGGTGAGCCAGGCTTCCCTGTCCTTCACTGTCTCCCGGAGTTTGCGCAAACTCATGTTCATTGAGTCGGTGATGCTAGTCGCCCCCTTGGACTTCCCTAGTGGCTCCCTAATCTGCCTGCAATGCAAGAGACGCGGGTTCGATCCCTGGCTGGGGAAGATCCCCTGGCGAAGCGAATGGCTACCCACGCCGGTATTTCTTGCCTAGAGAATTCCATGGACAGAGGAGCTTGGCGGGCTACAGTCCACGGGGTCGCAAGGAGTCGGACACGCCTGAGCGACTAACACACACATTCAAGGCATATTTATTGAATAAGCCCTTGGAGTTGGGTAGACAGAAGTATGTGTAAGCTGTAACAGTTGGGCAGCTTGGTTGTGGTGCTAGAATGAGAAGCCCCAGGGGTGCGATGGCTCAAACACCGCCACTGTAAACCCGGAGTTGAATTGAATCCAGTGCCGGTAAGTTACAGCAGGAAAATGGCAGAACCCCGCCGAGGCCCGACCGCGCAGCTGCAGAACTCGGTGGGCGGGCCTGCGCAGCCGCAGAAAGAGCTCGCGGCCTCGGGTCCGACTCGAGTCTTCATCAGTTTCCCGCCTGGCCTGATGAAGCCAGACCCGGTCCGGTCTGGTCTCCGCGCCTCTCAACGCCTCGGTGAGGCCGGGACCGCAGCGCCGGTCTCGGGCCACTAGCCCTCTTTTCCAGAACCGCCGCCAACATGCTGCAGCCCGTGTTCACCCTGAAACTGCGCCACAAAATCAACCCCCGTATGGTGGCCGTAGGGCGCTACGACGGGATTCACCCGTGCCTCGCGGCCGCTACCCAAGCGGGCAAGGTAACCGCTCCCACCCGTTCCCACCCGCACGGGGCCCGGGCCCCTGGGGTCCCCACGACCTCCGCGGGCCGCGTCCCTGCAATCCCGCCGCTCCTTCTCAGACCCCGCCCCCAGCCAGGGTTGCCCGGCGACGGGTCGGTGGCCTAGCCAGCTTTCGGTTCTGCGCAGAAGTCCTGAATAACAAAGCGGAACGGCCCTACCGAGCAGTTAACTTGTCTTCGGGCTCTTAAGACTCGGATGGTGTTGAAGTCTCTTTACAGATAGGGAGCATAGGGAAGAGAAGTCCCCTGCAGGGAAGGCCTTGGTCAGGGTTAGCAGTAATGGAGGACCCCCAGATTCAAGCCCAGAGCCTCTGCCCTTTGCTGGGAACCTCCTAGCATCTCAGACTGCCTCTCAGAGCCAAGCAACTCTACGGCAGGGAAAAAAAAAATTATAGATACCTCTGACTTAAATGGTTCATATTGCTCTTTTGATCTTTATCCGTGTACATTCATGTCTCTTCCTGTAATTTATTCACTAAGTACCTATTAGGGGCTTACTGTGTACCCTGCGCTGTGCAAAGTGTGGGCGTCGCGGAGACGAAAAAGATACGGTCATTCAACATCGCACCAGACTTACTGAACACCTTCTTCGTGCTAGATCTTGGGGATTCAGAGATAAAGCTGGAATCTATGTTTTCAGAAAGCTCCTGGTCCAGAAGGACGACAGACAGGGCAAATCAGGGCACTATGTGTGCTGATGGAGGAATGCCCAAAAAACATGGAATACAGTGACGCCGAGCTTAATGACTGCTAACAGTTACAAAGCCTTATTACATTAATTATGTCAGCGTCCTTGCTAAATTGCCAACTGCTGTAGCATAGCACAGGTGTGGTAGATCCTGGCTTTGGTACCTACTGATTTCATGACCTTGGGCAAGGTGCTTAATAGTATCTACCACATAGAGTTGTTAAGAGGATTAAGTAAGTTACTATGTGTCATGCTCTTGGCATATAGGCAGTGGTCACTAATTGTTAGCTGTTATTTTCTTTTTATTACTCCCACTTTACTGATTAGAAATAATGGTTTAGAGAGGTTCAAAGCAATGTTTGAGGTTGCTCAACTGGAAAGCAGTAGAAATGAGATTAGAGTGCCTGTTCTCTGACCCAGTGTGGATTTAACAAGTTGACATTTATATAATGATTTATAGTTTTCAAGACACTTCCACCTCCAATATGTTTTCTCATTTGCTCCGCCTTGGGATACATCAATTAAAAAGTAGTGATTCATTTCAATAAAGTTGTGTGATGGAGGAAAACACTTAGCACAGAGCCTGGCACGTAATAATGTTAGGTGTAATAAGGTGAGGAGGCACTGACAAATACCAGAAGGAAATTCTTATTGGTTTTTCTGTAGGTACACAGCAGCTACATAAATGGACTGAAAAAGTCCCATTGATATTAGCTCAGCCCTGGGTTTACTGAGGGCTTGCTGTGTGCTGGGCACTGTTCTTAACTCTGTAGTTACAAGGGTGAATGTGACAGACAAGTCTTACTGGTTTTATTCCCAGGTGGCGCTAGTGGTAAAGAACCCGCCGGCCAGTGCAGGAGACACAGGAGACATGGGTTTGATTCCTGGGTCAGGAAGCTCCACTGGAGAAGGAAATGGGAAACCACTCCAGTATTCTTGCCTGGGAAATCCCGTGGACAGAGGAGCCTGGCTCCTCGGTTATGGTCCATGGGGCTGTGAAGAGTTGGACACGGCTGAGCGATTAACACTTCTGTCTACTCCCTTGGAGGTTACATTTGAGAGCAGGAGCTAGACAGTAAACAGATACACACAGTCTGCAGAGGGGTAATGGCAGTTTTAGACAGAGTGATCAGATAGGTTTCTGATAGGATAACTGTGGATCAGAGGTTTGAAGGCAATGAAACAAGCCCTGCAGATAGGTGGAATTAAGTGTATCGGCAAGTACACACGGGCTTTGAGGAAGAGGGTATACTTGATGTGTTCCAGAAACACAGGAAGGCAACTGGAATGGAATGAGGGAAGCAGTGAGGTGGCCAGTAGCTGGATCATATAGGCCCTCATAAGCCATAGCAGAGACCTTGGTTTTTGATAAAATGGGTGATTGGGATTTGGTTTATGTTTCAAATGAAGGATTACTGGCTGGTACTGCAACAGAGATACAGGGAGGGGGAAGCAGGAGTGGAAGCAGGTTTCTCTGGAAACCCTTTCATTAGAATGTGACCTAGAGGGGGAGGCAGGGACCCCTTATTCTCGGTCTGTTTCTGAAGACAGGGGAAAAAGGGAGAGATGGAAGTTCCTATGTTCTGTCTAATCAGATACGTTATATTCAGAACTTCAAAAACAGACCTGGGAAGTTCTGACCTGATCTTTAGACTAAAAAAAAAAGGCACCATTTTATGATCCAAACAACACACAAAAATATAGTTTCCTTTAAAAACAAACATCTCCAGTAAGGCTGAAGCCCTCCTTGACTGTGGGGGCCCATGTCTTTAGCAACAGGATTTTGTCATTTTCTGTGGGACTCTGTTGTGAAGGTGGGGCTGGCTTACTGGGAACTAGTCTCTGCACCTGAGCAAGGATATTTTGAAAAGGAATTTCTTGCAGGATGAACATTAGTTCATCTGGGGACATGTTTCCTCTCACCATGGAATATATATTGCAGCAGCACCCCCCTCAGCTAGAACAAATGTGTAAACTACAGCCAATTCTTTGCCTTGAAGGCACTGTGTATGTGTGTGTGTATGTGTGTGTGTGCACGCGTGCACGCCTGCGTGCTCAGTCGTGTCTGACTCTTTGTGACCCTGTGGACTGTAGCCCATCAGGCTTCCTCTGTCCATGGAATTTTCTAGGAAGGAATACTGGAGTGGGTTGGCAGTTCCTCCTCCAGGGAATCTTCCCCACCCAGGGATCGAACTCTAGTCTCTTGGGTCTCCTGTATTGGCAGGCAGGTTCTTTACCCCTGAGCCACCAGGGAAGCCCTGCATAAAGGCCCTGGGAGTGACTGAGCCTGTGGGCCAGAGGAGTCTCCTGGTCTCTGATTTCTATATGTAGAAAACAGTGGGAGGAACCAGACTCCTGGGACTCTGGCAATAAACCTCAAACTCCTTTCATCCCAATAACAACATGAAGTCCACAGGTTATTTTTCTTCCAGTTCTTTTTCAGCCTATCTAATTACTAGGAGACTCTGTAAGAATTCTTTTGTTCAAGACTGTTATAAAAGGAAGTAAGATATGGCTGGAGATGAGTGGAGCCTGACACCAGGCTTGTGTCTTACTCCTGTCACTTATCGGTGGTGAGACCTTGAGGAAGGAAAGGCCTTAACCCCTCTCACCTCTTCTGTATATCCGGAGGACCAAATGCAGTAATGTTTATAAAAGTATGTTGTAAAGTATGACACAAATGAGAGCGTGAACACAATATTCAGTAGCTACACACCTTTTCTATAGATTTCTCACCAATCTTTTTTTTAAATTTATTTTTAATTGGAGGATAATTGCTTTTCAAGGTGGTTTGTTTTTGCTGTACAAAAACGTGGATCAGCCTTATGTATACATATATCCCCTCCTCACCGCCACCCAACCCCTCTAGGTTGTCACAGAGCACTGGGTTCAGCTTGCCGTGTTACGCAGCGACTTCCCACTAGCTGTCTGTTTTACATATGGTAATGTATATGTTTCCATGCTACTCTCTCAATTCATCCCACCTTCTGCTTCCCCCACTGAGTTCTCTATGTCTGCATCTCTCTTCCTGCCCTGCAAATAGGTTCATCAGTTCCATTTTTCTGGTTTCCGTATGTATGTGTTAATATATATGTTTTTCTCTTTCTGACTTACTTCACCCTGTATGACAGACTCTTAGGTTCATCCAGCTCAGTTCAAGTGACTTAAAACGCGTTCCTTTTTTATGGCTGAATAGTATTCCATTGTGGATATGCACCACCACTTCTTTATCCAGTCATCTGTCAATGGACATCTAAGTCTAATAAGCCTTATGAAAATTATCTTTTGTTGAATAGGTTACCTTGTTTAGGTAATAATTTAAAATTAATCCTGCTTGGGTTTAAAACCAAGTGCCCTAATACTGAGTTCCTCTACCAAGTTAATGATTTAACTTCTCTATCCAAAACTCTCTATTTCCTTTCTTGTTCCACACCCTCAGGCTTGAGGAGTATCAGAGGAAAGAGGAGACTGTAACCAACCTGGACCCTAGGGGGCCTCCCTGGGACAGCGCCCCCCACCCCAACCAACTGTGTCCTCTACTTCTTGTTTTTTGAAAAGCTTTAGTCTCCCAGGCCTCCCTTGAGTCTCAGGAGGCTGGCTCAAGTGTTAATGTCTAGGAATGTGAAGGTGTAGAAACAAGCTTTTAAGCTAGGAAACTGGGAACAATTTGGACTATAGAGTTAACCAGACCCCCAACTCCCAGTTCCCTGAAAACTATGAAGGTCTGACACACATTCCTAAGTTGTTTTTATAGGAAGCAGACCCCTACCAGTTGAAAACTGCTGATCATGAGCATATAGACCCCAGACTGGGTTGAAACCAGAAGACAGGTGATGCTTAAAACCTTCCTTGATGCCAACCAGTCCAAGAATTGTGCGCGAGCTGCTCGCATGCCCTGTGGCCCCCTCCTCCCCACACTGCCTTTAAAATTTTTGTTTCCTATCTGGCAACTTGGAGACAGTCTCAGGGTGTTAGTCCGCCTTCTTCCCAGGATTCTGGCCTCTTGAATAAAGCAAAATTTCCTTTCCCACCAACACTCGTCTCTCGGGTATTGGCCTTTTAAGTGGCGAGCAACCAAACCCGCCTCGCCGGGTTACAGATTTACACCAAAGGTTTGAAATGCTCATTTAAAATTAGAAAATTTTCTCAGAGCAGCTAAGCCAATGAACCACAACTGTTGAGCCTATGCTCTCGAGCCTGGGAGCTGCAACTGCTGAAGCCCACAAACCCTAGTGCCTGTGCTCTGCGGTGAGAGAAGCCACCACAAGGAGAAGCCTGTGCACTGCAACCAGAGAGTAGCCCCTGTTCACTGCAACTAGAGAAAAATCCTGCTCGTAGCAGCAAAGACTCAGCACAGCCAAAAATAAATAAATTAGCAAATTTTAGAACTCGATGGGGGCTGAAGGGATCTCTAGTTTCTCATCCTTTTTTTTTTCCATATTGCCTTTTATATTGCTTTTTTTTTTTTTCAGAAAATGAAAATTTCCCTAATGAAATTTCTGTACTGTATCTCTATGACTTAATGTCTAAGATCCTCCCCACCCCAAACCCAATTACCCATTTTGGGAGCAACATCATCCCTCTTGAGAGTGCTTCTTCTAGTCTAGACCTCCTTTTACATATGAAGCCCAAGGAAATTTAAAGATTTGTAAGGACACTCAGATGATTATATTTGTGATAGTTGACACTCAGATGATTATATTTGTGATAGTTGACACTCAGATGATTATATTTGTGATAGTTGAAACTGCTAGATTAATTAACTTGGAGTTAATTAATTCTGTCTACTTGTATAGACTATGAAAGCCTTCAAGAAGCTTGCTTTGTGTGACTCAGTTTAGGATTATAAGACAGATTTACTACCGATCAGTTTTAAGGGTCAGGAAGTGAATTTGTTAGGCGTTGGGATGAAAGATAATGAAGTGTTTATTACTGTTTTCTCTGATCTTTGTGTGCTCAATCTCATTGTAACTGATAGCAATTTCCTATAGGTTGACCAGGAAAAGGCTGGTTTGTAAGAGTGCTTGAATGTCCTGCCGGTTGGTTGTATGTAAGCTGCCCTGGGAAGTGACAACTAGATCTTGGCCATTATATCTCAGTCTTTACAAGGCTGAGAGCCACTGGATTTCCACACTTTGAAGTGATTGAAAGCCAGCCATGCACAGAACTGTGTATGGGTGTTTTTAAGTTTTGTGGATTATTAAATCCCTTCTTGTTAGTGTTGGTAATCTGTTAATAACCTGAGCCTTTTAATAAAACTATGTTAATTTTACATTTTTTTGATATTAAGGGGATGTAATTAACTTTTTGTTGTAGGTTTTTATTCACAACCCTCATGCACGGAACCAACATCTCGATGCACCCAGGGTCCTCCAGAGCCCCCTGGAGTCTGATGTTTCACTTCTCAACATTAACCAGACAGTCAGCTGCCTGACCGCAGGAGTACTGAACCCTGAAGTTGGCTATGATGCTCTTTTAGTGGGGACACAGACCAATCTGTTAGCTTATGATGTCTACAATAATTCAGATTTGTTCTACAGAGAGGCAAGTATACCCATTTATAACCATAGAACTCCCACTTCCCATTAATGTCCACTGGTTTTTTATTTTTTTTAAACGCTTGAAAGAGATCAGACATACATTTGGGTTTATTATGTGGCTGTTGTAGTGTAGTTAAAAAAAAAAATGCATGTTTTGCCATTTACATCTCGTTGACACTTATTTGGTCATGGTTGGTAATCATTTGGTGATGCTCCAGATTATCTTTCAGGAGGTATTATCTATTGATAGCTTCCCTGGTGGCTCAGAGGTAAGGAACCCACCTGCCAATGCAGGAGGTGCAGGTTCGATCCCTGGGTCGGGAAGACCCCCTGGAGAAGGACATGGCAACCCACCCCAGTATTCTTGCCTGGGAAATCCCATGGACGAGGAGCCTGGCAGGTTACAGTCCACGGGGTTGCAAAAGAGTTGGAAATGACTTAACAACTGAAAAACAACAGCGTATCTGTTGATACTTTCATCTGTCAAGATTTGTCATTAAAAATGCAGCCAGCAGCCAGAAAGCCAGCAAACAGGTCTCCTGGTGGCTTTGCACTGAAGTTTAGTATAGTAGTTTCCAGGAGAAGCACTTACCATAGCCTGCCATCTACAGGCTGCTGCAACTTTAATACTCAGATAATCCATACTTATATAAAAATAGAAGCAAAGTAAAAATAATCACTCGTAATTTCTTCATTTGGAAATAACACTTAACTCTTGATTGATTTATCCTGACTTTTTACTTAGTATTTGTGAGTGAATTCTTTTTTTGTTTACAAAATGGGATCATAATATATACATGTAATCTTTTACTTTTTTTCTATAACAGATTTTTTTAAGATATAATTCACATACCATACAGGTCACCTATTTAAAGCATACAGTCCAGTAGTTTTTAGTCTATTCAGTGAGTTGTGTAACCAACACCACAATCAGTTTTAGAACATTTTCATCAAACTGTGCTTATGTATTTTATTCAAGAAGTCTGAGACATTTACTAGTTCAGAATGGTGGATCTATAGGTGCTTGTAGTTTTTAGTACTTATAATTAAAAACGAGCAGTAGTAAGAGAACTAATTAATCAGTAGTAATAGATTTCCATCTAAAGTGGTTAAAGTAGATTACAAAAGTTTGGGTGTTTTAAAGGCATTACGTCTGATTCTCTGAGAATTTGGCCTCTAGAACTCGGTGGTCCGAGAGAGCCTTGGGTTTTAGAGTGGGTTATCATAGCAGGTTAGTGCAAGAGACCAAGGGCCCGAGTTTATCCTGAGTCAGTGCTCATCCTTGCATAAGCCGCATCAGCCACAGACACTGTCCTTGATGGACATCTCTGGCCTGCCTCTCAGGAGACCAGGTGGCTTCTCAGGAATGATGACAGAGGCCTTTGAGTTTCCAGATAAAAAGAAGGATGTATGTTACCTCCAGTGTGCCTTGCAGCATTGTGTTTGAGGGTTTGTCTTTTTTGTTTTTCTTCTCAGGTAGCAGATGGGGCCAATGCAATCGTGCTGGGGACGTTGGGAGACATCACCTCTCCTCTTGCAATTATCGGTGGAAACTGTGCTCTGCAGGGTTTCAATCATGAAGGAAATGATCTCTTTTGGACGGTATGAAGAACGAAATACTTTCTTTAGTACTCTTAAACATTTTTACTTTTTAATGTTCTTTAGGTCTTGTTTGCTTGTTTGTTTTTAACCACTGACAGTAATGAATAATGGAAACAAAATAAAACAGTATTTATAATTTTATACATTAAAAAAAGGCTGTGAGTAATGTGAATTTTAAATTCGTGGTTTATTTCATCCTGTCTTTTATGTAGCTCTTGTGTTTGGATTAAGTGAATAGAAATGGCATAGTAATGACTTGGGCTTTATTTTCAGGTTACCGGCGATAACGTCCATTCCTTGGCCTTGTGTGACTTCGATGGCGATGGAAAGAAAGAGGTGTGTGGGGGAGGAGATCCTCCTCTTGCGTGTACTTCTCAGCTGAGTACACACATTTCCCCAGGACGGTGACCATCATGTTAAGAGAAGTGTTAGCTTCTCAGGGTTGATTTTGCTGTTCTGTTGCCTGAATGAGGAACTAATTGGCTTCATTTGTCTTTCTCCTCTCTTTTGAACAGTAATTCACTTGGGTTTGTTAAATACAGAGATCAAGACCATATTTCAAAGACACCTGATGGGGGAGAGGGCAAAATAGTTGTTGGGATCACAGTCACAATCACAGTCTTATAACTTGATTCCAGTGTTTTAAAATCTTATTAGTACCTAGGTCTCAGTTTTGGCCAGCTTTTTCAGGAATCTGGAAGTTTTAGAGATTGGCTTTTAGCTTTTTAAATTACTCTAACGGTTTCTCTAGAAATTAACCTCTTGAGCAGCGAGTGAAGTACTGTGTTGGACATTGACCTGCCCTCTGATTGTCTGCAGATACTGGGCTCTGGCTTTTGCAGCAGGGCTTTCACCTGCGGGCAGACAGATACTGAGTCAGGGAGCATTTTCAGGTGCCTGGTGAAAGAACTTGTTCTGGTAGGAGGTGCCCACGTGGCAGGACCTGTAGTAACCAGTGTTTCTTCACTGACCAACTCACGACCTTCTCAGTGGAAGGAACCTTTCTGAGCATCCATCACCGAAAAGTTGGAATTCCTGGGTGGCTCTAGCAGCTTACAAAGTATCATGCAGTTTTTTGTTTTATTTATGGAAATTTTGCTGTCTTCACTTACTGAACTAAATATGCCTGATTTTTTTTTTTTTCCTTTCAGCTTCTTGTTGGATCTGAGGATTTTGATATCCGAGTTTTCAAAGAAGATGAGATAGTGGCAGAAATAACAGAAACAGAGGTAAGCACCACCTCAGAATTATGATAACCTTGACAGATTAGCCTAGTCAAATGTAGCATAAAGAGAGTGCTGGGATATCTCACTACCCAGTTTTACGGTAAAGACTGTGGGGATTAAATAGAGCAGTACGTTACAGAAAAAGAAGCCTTTAAATATCCTTTATTGAGATATATTTTGACTCAGCGCTCTCTAATGACCCAGAGGAAGGGGAGGTGGGAGGGAGGCTCTAGAGGGAGGGCATTTATGTATACATACATCTCAGTCACATTGTTGCACAGCAGAGACTAATGCAGCATTATAGAACAGTTGTACTCGAATGGAAAAAAGAAAAAAGTTATTTTTGAAAACACTGATTAGATAAAAATTATGGAGCACAAAACGTGTTTCTTTTAGTGAGCTATTATATAATAATAATAATAATGGCAACCATTTATTGTGCACCTGATACATGCCAGACACTGTTCTAAGTTATTTACATGAGCTACTCATTTAATCCAACAACAGCCCAATTATGAAGGAATTAGTAGTTCTCGTTTTACAGATGAGGGAACATGTTATGTTTGTTAAGTTACTCTCAAAAGGTCATGGCTATTAAGTGGCATGGTCAGGTCCTCCTCCTGCTTCTCATCATGTGTATTAAATGGGATTGAATATTGAATGAACTGTATCTGTGAGGGTTTTAGACTTTTTCTCTTCATTCAAATTAAGTACTTCTTAGGCACATTTCTGTTGGTAAACTTAAAAACTAGATGTCAGAGAACTTGACTAGTTTCTTTATGATTAGAATTACTCATGTAATTCAAACTGAAATGTTTCTGAAAGAGTTGTCTTTTTTTAAAACAGTGTCTAAAGATTGCCCTTATCTCTTATGGTTTGGTATTCTTAGGATATTTATTTGCTGCTGGTTTTCCAGGATTGGGCAAGATGGAAACCAAAAAGATAATTAGGATATTCTAAATTAAGGAAGGAGATGGAAATAAAGGAGCATTGGCTTGTGAGCCCTGTAAATGGACAGAAAAAAACAACAGAAGGAAGTCTTAGAGATCCAAATGGTGGTATTGTACAGAATTGTATCAACTGGTGTTTGGGAGGTTGTATCAGAAAAACTTGAGGGCAGCAGCCTGAGAACTCACCTTGGGATGAGAACTCATCCTTGCTTCTCTTCGCGTACAAAAGCTGTTTAGGGACATCAGGTTTCTGTTCCCCTGCCTGCAAAAGGGAGACCAAAAAGCAAAATGTGCATATTGATATATAAAGTGTTACCAGTGATTTTGAAGGGTTTATATGGACTCCCCTCGTGGCTCAGATGGTAAAGCGTCTGCCTACAATGCAGGAGACCCAGATTGAATCCCTGGGTCGGGAAGATCCTCTGGAGAAGGAAATGGCAACCCACTCCAGTACTCTTGCCTGGAAAATCCCATGGATGGAGGAGCGTTGTAGGCTACAGTCCATGAAGTCACAAAGAGTCGGACACGACTGAGCGACTTCACTTCACTTCTTCACTTTTACTATAGATTTTTACTTAATCTGACTCTACTTTTTTTTTTTTCCTGACTCTACTTCTTATGTACTCACACTTTTTATGGTTGTAAGCTGATAGTTGTGGGTAGAGGAAAATGAAGGGGAGAAGTGAGTGCCAAAAGCAGTGCATATCTGAAGATGTGTGTCCATATGGGGATTTTTGTGTACCTGTATGTGTTTCACGTCTGCTTTTCTAGAGAGCGTCCTTCAGTTCAGTCACTCCGTCGTGTCCCACTCTTTGTGACCCCATGAATCGCAGCACGCCAGGCCTCCCTGTCCATCACCAACTCCCAGAGTTCACTCAAACTCATGTCCATCGAGTAGGTGATGCCATCCAGCCATCTCATCCTCTGTCGTCCCCTTCTCCTCCTGCCCCCAATCCCTCCCAGCATCAGGGTATTTTCTAATGAGTCAACGCTTCACATGAGGTGGCCAAAGTATTGGAGTTTCAGCTTCAGCATCAGTCCTTTCAATGAACACCCGGGACTGATCTCCTTTAGGATGGGCTGGTTGGATCTCCTTGCAGTCCAAGGGACTCTCAAGAGTCTTCTCCAACACCACAGTTCAAAAGCATCAATTCTTTGGCACTCAGCTTTCTTCACAGTCCAACTCTCACATCCATACATGACCACTGGAAAAACCATAGCCTTGACTAGACAGACCTTTTTTGGCAGTGTAATGTCTCTGCTTTTTAATATGCTATCTAGGTTGATCATAACTTTCCTTCCAAGGAGTAAGCATCTTTTAATTTCATTAGATTGTTGAAGGGGATTGCCAGCTTGACAATTACTGACCTGTAAGTGCTGGGTTCTGCATTACCATTTCCCTTTCATTTAAATTCATAGTAAATCTTTTCCCATTTGGGGAATCATTGAGGTTTTGTTGGATTTCTGTTAATTGTCAATACTAGATGTCAGGGGGAGTACATTCTGTGAAACACCTTTTTTCTAAATCCTAGAAAAGGACAGGAGAACATGAAATAACAGCGAGGAATTTGATGTGCCTTTTGATCCTCTAGTCCACAAAAGAAGAAACTATTGACCTTATAAAGGACTAAGGGATCTAAGGAAACTGGGGCTAAATTTAGGAAAATGTGGACTTTATAAGATTGTTCATTTCAGGGCCGTTTTCTTCTCCTCTGGTTTGATTTTGCTCTTAGTTCAAATGTGTTTTTGCACATCGGCAAAATTATGAACAGTACTGCCAAAAGAATGCCTTGAGCTAAATAATTCTGGAGTCCCACTGGCACTTTGTATTCAGAGTTAAGTGAAGTGGGTGGTTTTATAGAAAAGCTGTAGGTGTAGAAGAAATTACATAACTATTCTCTACTTTATACAGTTTATTTCTTATTATCTCTTACATTAGTCAGAGTGTAGATCTGCAGGGTCATAGATACCTTTAAACTTCAATTTTAACTTTTAAGGATAATTTTGTTAAGTATCTAAAATTGTAGATTTTGTAAATTGTAATTGTAAATTCTCTTAAGTGTGTTAAATCCTCTTAACAGTCCTATTAATACTCCAGTATAATATATGCAGTCTGTATATTGTTGCTGCTGCTGCTAAGTCGCTTCAGTCGTGTCCGACTCTATGCGACCCCATAGACAGCAGCCCACCAGGCTCCCCCGTCCCTGGGATTCTCCAGGCAAGAACACTGGAGTGGGTTGTTATTTCCTTCTCCAGTGCGTGAAAGTGAAAAGTGAAAGTGAAGTCGCTCAGTCGTGTTTGACTCTTAGTGACCCCATGGACTGCAACCTACCAGGCTCCTCCGTCCATGGGATTTTCCAGGCAAGAGTACTGGAGTGGGTTGCCATTGCCTTCTCCCTGTATATTGTTAGATATGTACAAATCCATGGTATCCTGGGGTTTTGCTTTTTAAAGGATTATGTTTTCTTCTAGCAAACAGTAAATTATACCTTGGAAAAGTATACTCTTAAAATATATTTAATTGTGGATTTTATAAGTCCTTTTAAAATTTAGACTGCAGGATATTGTAAGTTAAGGAAATGGAAATAATCATTAAAATATTTTGAGCTAGTATGTATAACATCAATTTTACATAGTCCAGATCTTGTGTGCATAGTTTATTTCCTTCTTAATTCCTCAATTTTATTATTTAAAAAAATAATTTGTTGAAATTTGCTACATATGCTTGATCTAAAACGGTAAACTTTGTGAGTTTAATTCTTATGATCCAAATCTGAAATAGAGGACATGGATCATAGAGAAGAACACATTCCCCGCTAGTGGATTGGAAGTGCATTTAAACCTAATTTTAACACACTTGTAGCAAGGTATGCAGTTTTATAAAGTCATTTTGCACTAAATTGAGCCTTAATCAACTTTATCTTTTTCATTATGTTTTGCAGATCATCACCTCTCTTTGCCCCATGTATGGCAATCGATTTGGTTATGCCCTTTCCAATGGCACCGTTGGAGTTTATGACAAAACAGCCCGATACTGGAGAATTAAAGTTTGTATGATACAGTCTCTGATATTCAGGGATTTTATACTTATTGAGAGATTTCTATACTAATTATTGAAATTCCTTTTCAGTCCAAAAATCATGCCATGAGTATTCATGCTTTTGACCTTAATTCTGATGGAGTGTGTGAACTGATAACTGGTTGGGCCAATGGGAAGGTAAGTTTAAAGAGTAGTGTTCAAGTATAATTTAAAGTCATAACTATCTGAGATATATGGGCTGCATGACTCCAAACAGTGACAGGAGAATATGCACGTGAGTTTCTCAGCTGTGCTTTCAAATGTAACTTCTTAACCTTCCTGGATTTCTTCTCCCTGCTCTGATTATCAACATTCAAAAGTGAGTGAGCGTCCTTTCGGTTTATAAGCCCTATTTGGGGGAAGAGCTCCAGGAAGGTCTAAGTCCCTTCCTTGAAGGGATGGGAATCAATTTAATCAAGTTGATCACAGGCATAGGCAAGTAAAAAAAAAAAAAAGGATTTTTAGTAAGCTAGTAGTGAACTGTGTATGTAGCTCTTTTCTAGTAAATCTTCAAGTTTGACTAAAATCTTAGAATCAGTGGGAAGAGTTATCATTGTTTTCTAAGCTATAACTTCAAACTAGGATTTTTTTTTTTCTTCTTTCCTTTTTTAACTTCAAATCAGAAGTTTGTACAGTCTCTTGGCAAGTCAGGATTGTCTTGTTAGAAACTGCCGAAGGAGCTGCCAGATCTCCATGGATACCATTTGCCCTAGCTCTTTCATCTGTCAGCGCTGATGGCCTGAAGGAGATCAGCTAGCTCTAGCTTTTCTTCTTTGATTTTTTCCTTCACTTTTGGCCAGTGTCTTGTAACCTCCCTTTGGTGTTGTGTGAAAAACAGATTCAAAAAACCTGTCATGTTGGTTCCTACTTCTCCACTTGGTTTTGGTTTTGGTTGGGGTGTTGAAAATTACAAAGGATGACTGTGTAGTTGCTTATTAAAAAACTTGAAAATCCATAAAAGGGGACCCTATTCTTGGGGAATATGAATTATTATGATTGATCTAAGAATTAGAAAATTACTTAAGAAGTTATCAAAAGTAACCTTCAGATCTGACTCTGAACCTCGAAGTCTGTCTAGTTAAATGCTTTCAAAATTTTACAAAATTGCTATTACATAATCATAATTTGTATGTTCTAAGCTATATGAAAGGTAAGCAAACTATACAGTTCATTAAATAAGTGGAACAGTTGGTATCTGCACTCAACAGAAACAACATTAAAAGGAATATAGATCCACCCGGTGAACATAGGTGCAAAATTATTTAATTTAAAAGCAACTAGCCAACTAACTTTTTCTTTAGTAGGTCATTTGTTGAGTTGGAGGGTCATCTTTTGCATGGCAAAACTTTCATGTTGGATAAAGCAAAAGAATAGAAAAGCCACAGAAATACAGATTTGTAGCCCTGTTTCTTAGTTAACAAGTTAACCCTCTTATTTGCTAAATATTGCGGAAACACAGTGCTGAAGGTCATGGAGAAGTTAGAATGAAGCAAGTTCACTTCAGTCTGAGTTCAAGGCTTCTGTTAATGTGTGAGGAACTCTGGTCTGTACAGGCCATTCATTGCTTTACTAGCTTTAGCATCCATAATTTTCAGGCTGACCTGATGTTGTTATTAAGAATATGGTATTCTCCAGCCAAGGGGTAGGAGCTGGTAGTAAGCCGTGACCTAAATTAGTGTGTTTTTCACTGCAAAATTTTGCCCAGAAGGCTGTTTATGAAAAGACAAAAATAGTGGTCACTGAGGTGCTTGCATTTTCTGTAGCTAGCCTTTTATCAATAGTGCATGTGTTCTTGCTTAGAACAAAAGCTCATTTTAGGTGGTTATCCTTCCCTGTTGTTTTGTGAGGCATTCGTTTCTGAAGGGTCAGTGATTTATTTATCTGCCTCGTTTGGGAAGAGGAGAGTGGATGATTGTAGGGCTCTCTGCAGTATCTCAGTAGTTCACGTGGCAAAGGGACCTTAAACAGGGCTGTTCCAGAGGGTGGATGGTGGAAGACTGGGCTTGCTTGGCATTTTTCAAACTTTAGATATAACTGGGGACTTCCCTGGTGGAACAGTGATTAAGACTCCACACTCCCAATGCTGGGGGCCCATGTTTGATCCCTGGGCAGGGAACTAGATCCCATGCTGCAGCTAAGAGTTTGATGTCACAACTAAGACACAGTGCAGCCAAATAAATAAAAACTTTAGGTGTAATATATTTTATATATTTACATATAATAAAGGTGAAATTTGTATGTAGAGCTAATATGTCTTGTATACTTCTATGTGCCAGTCCCTGTTCTACCTGCCTAACACATTAACCCTTTTAGATCTTGTTACAACCCTGACGTGTAGATACAGTTATTTTCCTCATGTTCTTACTGTTGATCTCCAGATGAGGAAGCCAAGTCCAGAATGTTTAAGAGGTTTGCCCAAGATCCCACTGGTAGTGAGTGGCAAAGCTGGAATTTGAACCTGGGCAGTTTGGACTTTCACACTGTGTTATATATTTTCTAAAAGTACTGTCTCTCAGCCAACCCACTTTTCCAAATGAAATACTAGGCCAGTATGTAAAACAGCTTTTAAGAAAAAGCAGAGCTGAGTGAGGTCCCTTGGCCCCCTGGTTATAGGTAAGTATTGAGAAGCCACGGGGGGGGGCCCCTTGGAGTACTCATTAAATTTTTTTTTTTTTTTTTTACATTTGGCTGCATTGGGCGTTAGTTGCAGCTTGAGGAATCCTTCGCTGCTGTGTGCAGGCTCTCTAGTTGTGGCGAGAGGGCTTAGTTGCCCAGTGGCACATAAGATCTTATTTACCCCACCAGGGATCAAACTCTTATCCCCTGCATTGGAACATGGATTCCTAACCACTGGACCACCAGGGAAGTCCCCTCCTTGGAGCCCTCTTAAAAACTTCTAGACTAGAGCTGATTGAACTTTAAAAATTCTGTGTCATTTTTAAGAACCTGTAGCAGAAGCTATTTTCAAGTTCTTGTTCTATTTTCAGGTCGATGCTCGAAATGACCGGACCGGGGAGGTCATCTTTAAGGACAGCTTTTCTTCTGCGATTGCTGGTGTGGTGGAGGGAGATTACCGGATGGATGGCTGCCAACAGTTAATCTGCTGCTCGGTGGATGGAGAAAGTAAATCGGGATAGGAGAGATCCTTGATAAGTCAGATTTATCAGTCTGATTGGGTCAGAATCCTGGGAGACTTACCATTAAGTGTTTGTGCTGATACCCTTTCGTCCTAATAAATTCACCTGAGTTGGGGAAATGAGAACTTAGGTTTTAAGACTAGGTCATTGATGACTTAAAAGTAAGACCTGGCTGTGCCTGGACCCTCCCTCAGTCCTGTGGGTTTTTTTCCCCTCCTGTCAGTCCGGGGCTACCTGCCGGGCACGGCTGAGATGAGAGGCAACCTCATGGACACCAGCCTAGAGCAGGACCTGATCCGAGAGCTGAGTCAGAAAAAACAGAACCTGTTGCTGGAGCTCCGCAACTATGAGGACAACGCCAAGGTCGGACCGGATGGGACGGGCACGCAGGAGGCTGAGAGGCTGAGAGTGACCAGGAGGATGGGTGGTTGGGAAAGGAGGAGGGTCTCCACATCTGGCGAGGCGGGGGCTCCCCCTCCCCGCTTATGGGCGGGCAGATGGCCTGGCCTTTTTGCTAGTGTCAGAATGAAGAGGGCACGTGTCCTTTAACCCAGAAATCCCACTGCCTGGGAGCTCAGCCAGAGAGAGATTTGCACGAGTGTTCAAACACACTGCAGCACTGTTTGTAGCAGGGAACAGGTGGAAGCAGCAGTAACTTTTGATCAGTCCTGGGAGGGTGGGCTGGGGAATATTAAGCAGCTCAAAAGAATGAAGTACATACACGTGGACTAATGTGGAAGGATGTCTGGTATTATTGAGTGAAGGGAAGCAAGAATAGTGTGTTTAGAGTATCTTTTGTCTTTTTCAACCACAAATAACATAAACATGGACAACTGCAGAGACTCTGGGTGTGGTATTGTGTGTGTGTGTGTATGTGTGTACATGTACTTATCCAACTAGCTGGAGGGTGAGCTGGGGAGTAGGATTTTAATTTGTCCCATCATGTATAATTGTTTGAATTTGCTAAACTAAGTGAATTTCTTTAGTCATTTAAAACAAAACAATACAGAAAAATGCAAAGGGTGGGCGGCTTCCCTGGTGGCTCAGTGGTAAGACTCCGCCTGCCCACGCAGGAGACGTGGGTTTGATGCCTCGTCCGGGAAGATCCCGGTGCCTCGGGGCACTTCAGCCTGTGCGCCACAACTGCTGAGTCTGCTGCGGAGCCCGGGAGCTGCAAGTGCTGAACCCGAGCGCCGTAGAGCCTGTGCTCCGCAACGAGAGAAGCCGCTGCAGTGAGAAACCTGTGCGCTGCACCTAGAGAGAAAAGCCCACACAGCAACGAAGACCCAGCATAGCCAGTAAATCAATGTTTTTTTAGAATGTAAAAGGCGTGCTGGGGGACAGTGGTCCCTAACCACAGGAAGAGATGAGAGTATTTCCCTTTGGGAAAAGGCCAGGTTAGAGCGAAAGCACTAATGAGGTGAGTTCTCTGACGTTTAACGACTCAGATGAATATAAGATGACAGGGGATCTGTCTTCTGAAGCCAAATAGCTGTATTATTTAAAATTGACATGAGTTCACTGTTCCGGGACTGAGTTGGAAGTGAGGGGGGTTGTGTTTTGCAGGCAGAGCTGAGCAGTCCACTGAACGAGGCTGATGGGCATCGGGGCGTGATCCCGGCCAACACCAAGCTCCACACCGCCCTCTCCGTCAACCTGGGGGGCGAGACGCAGGCCGCCCATGCGGAGTTGTGCATCTCCACCTCTAATGGTAAGGCGTTACTGACACACGGCTGGTGGTCATTGGCACCTGTGTCATCTGGGGGTGGCTCTTGGACTGCTGTCTCCTCTCTTCCCTGCAGACACCATCATCCGAGCAGTGTTGATTTTTGCGGAGGGCATTTTTGCAGGTGAAAGCCATGTGGTGCACCCCAGTGTTCACCATCTTTCCAGCTCCGTCCGCATCCCCATCACACCTCCCAAAGACGTCCCCATGGACCTGCACTTGAAAACCTTCGTGGGTTACAGGAGCAGGTGACCCTTTGCACATCGCGGTTCATGTCCAGGCAGCAATGAGAGGAGAGTAGAATGTGCAGATTTCCCCTTTTGCCATGGATTCTCTGGGGCCAGAGAAGCCACTTAATGGCTCTTTCCACCCAGGCAAGGTTTCCCATGACTTCTTATTTCTCTAATTTGAAATCTTTCCAAAAAATAAATAAAAAGTACGTAAGTTTGAAATGGTTATTTCTGGTTTTAGTCAGATGATTTCATATTCACAGCAATTCCAAAAGTACACTTAGTGGATAATTTAGTTTTGGCCACCAAGACTACAGGGGTTTAGGTTCCATTATATGACAGTCATACATAACCTCAGCCAGTGAAGAAAAGCACTAGATTTGTGGAAGATAGAAACATTTTCACGTTCCTTTTTGGGTGTGTAAACCCTGGGTGCGTGCATATGTATACACAGACTCATGTCTCTAAATCCCAAGCCCCATTACTGTGGGCCTTGAACCCTCGATTTTTTTTGTTTTTTTTTTTTGAGGTGAAGGTGGGGGGAGGAGAGTAGACAAGAGTTTCTTTAGTGAAACCCTTAAGTAACAGCTTGATGACTCAGTAGTGACCTTATGTTTATGGGGGGGGGGCGCTTTCCCTTTGAAATAACATTCAACAAAAACAGTTCTCTTCTGTTCCATTGGTTGGCCATAGCACCCAGTTTCATGTGTTTGAGCTGACAAGACGGCTACCTCGATTCTCCATGTACGCGCTCACCAGCCCGGACCCTGCCAGTGAGCCCGTCAGTCACGTCAACTTTATCATCGCAGAACGGGCCCAGAGGGTGAGTGTCTGGCTTTTCTCTTTGCAACCCTTTTGCACTTTAGAATCTTTGACATTATTTCACAGAAAATTACATGAGTGTGTTATTTGGTAGCAGTAAATATGACATGAAGGAGTTAGCTTGGAGTTGGATAGTTTATAACAAGTACCAAAAATGTTGCTAAAATAACTTCTTCCATTTTTTTTAACTTCTTCCGTTTTGAAAAAATTATTCAGAAATTTTTATCTTGGCTAATCAATTCAGAAATATTTATTTTTAATCATTAACTCAAAGTTACTTACTTAAGCAATCCTTAGTCACAGGTAAATTCCTCTCAGTTTGTAATTCCTCTTTTTGTTAGTCTTAGTGGGATTGTCCAGATCTCGTGTTTTAAGAGGAGTCTGCATCAGAATGGAAAGAGAGTGGCCCTTGGAAATGGGAATATTGTGGGGGTTCAAGTGCTACCTTAACTAAGTAAATTCTTAGGGATCTTGCGGAGTTCCCCTTATTGAGGATAGTATTACCTCACAGGGGGCCCCTGAGGATTACATAATTGGCATAATAGCACTTTTTAAAGTTTAAAGGACTAGTAATACCTGTGGGTTTTAACCTTGGCTGGACTTTAGAATTCTCAGTGAGGCTTTTTAATCATGGAAATTCTCAGGCCCCTTTCTGGCCTTTGAAACTTGAGACTCTACAGGTGGCCCCTTCCAAAAGGCCTCACAAGTGGATCTTATGTGGAACCTGTATTATAAACCATTGTAAAGTATTACTATTATTTATATTAAGATTTATTCTTTACTTATAGTGTGGCTGTTATCTCTGTGTCTGTGTGTGCAAACTTTATTTAAATGTAGTAAAGGATGGAGTAGAATGATTTTAAGCAGGCTAGAGCCACAGAAGAGCCACCTTGTAAACAGAATTATCATAGTACTTGAATCATATCTACATTGCATGTAAGGTTAAGTAAGTAGGGGACTTCCCTGGTGATCCAGTGGGTAAGACTATGCTTCATTACAGGGGCTCGGGTTCAATCCGTGGTTGAGGAACTAAGATCCTGAATCCCACACAGTGCAGCCAAAAAGTAAAAACAAATAAATAAAAATGTTAAAAAACATACGTCCATATGTCTGAGTAGAAAATGCATGCTATGGGACTAGATATAATTGTGCATGTTACTTAGAACATGTATCAGGTGGGAAAAAGGAGTGTGAATAGTGTTTTCTTGGTGGGGGAAGAGTTGTAATTTTTTTTTTTTAACCAAGTAGTAAAACTAGAAAGAAGGGTAGCTCTTAATGACTGTACTTTTAAAATGGAGATTCATTTCACACTCTTCATCTTTAAGGTTGTTACATGGCTCAACCAGAACTTTCTGTTACCAGAGGGCACTAACATTCAGAACGCTCCATTTCAAGTGTGTTTCACATCCCTACGGAACGGTGGCCAGCTGTATATAAAGATAAAACTTAGTGGAGAGGTAATTTTTACTGTCATGGACACAGATTTCTCACGTAAACGTTTAACACTCAGTGTAAAGTGAGGCAGGTGACACCAATCTCAAGGTTGTGAAACCACATGTCTCAACCTAGACTGTGTTATCCCATCTGACACAGGCGTCTAACGTAGATCAGCAGTTTTTCTACCTCCCTCCCCCACTTCCCTTCACCTGTTTATCACCTAGTTTGGGATGGTTTAGGAATACAGAGAACACGATGTTTTCATTGTTTGAATGATTTTGTTGTTCCATTTATAAGGCAAAAGGATTCTTTTTTTTTTTTGGCCTGTTGCTAGAAATAATGTTATTTCCTTGAGGGCTGGACCTTATTTTTATTTATCATTGCATATAAATTTATGTTCAACAAATGTGTTGAATATGGGGAAGTTCAGGTACTGTTCCAGCTATCTGAGGATGCTAACTTGTCTTTTTTCCTGTGGATAGATCACTATAAATACTGATGATATAGATTTGGCTGGTGATATCATCCAATCGATGGCATCGTTTTTTGCTATTGAAGACCTTCAGGTCGAAGCCGATTTCCCTGTCTACTTTGAAGAATTACGAAAAGTGCTAGTTAAGGTGAGGGCACCTGGTGGATGAATTTGTGAGAACACGGTGTTGTAATAATGTTTGCAATATTTCTGTTAAATTAATGAAACTACAAATGTATGTATATTACATGTCTTAACTTTGAAAAATTCTTAAACTAAAAATTGAGCTAGTATTAGAGAATTCATGAGTTAAAGGATTTCTTTTGTAAAAGTGAGTGGTTAGCTTGAGCACCTGCTTTCTGTGCTTGGTTTGGAAGGATACTTGAAAAATATATATAGTAACATTTTCCTTTGCTAGTTTTTCATCTTATCTGTTGTATCTACTTTGCATTCTGGCTTAGTGCTTTCCCAGGCGGCTCAGTGGTAAAGAATCTGCCTGTCAATACAGGAGACATGAATTTGATCCCTGGGTCAGGGAGTTCCCCTGAAGAAGGAAATGGCAACCCACTCCAGTATTCTTGCCCGAAAAACCTCATGGACAGAAGAGCCTGGCGGGCTACAGTCCATTGGGTCACAAAGAGTCAGATGTGACTTATTGACTAAACAACAGCAAAGAACCCCAAATCAAAAGTAAGGCTTGTGATGGGTCCCCACTTATAACATCCCCACCCTAAACCTCTAAAATGTTAGTATTTGTGTCTCTTGGGCTCACAGTGCTAAGATGTGGAAGAGCTCGACACAGAATGTCATTTTGAGTATTTCACTGAAGAGGAGATGAAACAACAGAGAATAGTTAAGATAGAACAAGTGAACGGCAGAAAAAACAGGGCCTCGGTATAGAGAAGATAGCTCCTTCTCAACTTACTTAGTTTCCAGGAAGCTGGTGAGGCCTTTTTAACTCCTGGTGTTCATGGTTTCCAGGTGGACGAATACCACTCCGTGCATCAGAAGCTCAGTGCTGACATGGCAGATAACTCTAATCTGATCCGCAGTTTGCTGGTCCAAGCTGAAGATGCCCGTCTGATGAGGGACATGTGAGTATGTACCATGGCCACGACAGGTGCTTTGTCTCTAGGGCTCCCCCTTTTTTCCTCTCTCTGGCTTTTTCTTTTAAAGCAGAGAGATGTTGCGGACTTTAGGCATTTGACTGTGCTTCCCTGGTGGCTGAGACGGTGAAGAATCTGCCTGCAAGGCGGGAGACCCAGATTCAGTTCCTGGGGCGGGAAGATCCCCTGGAGAAGGGAAAGGCTACCCCCTCCAATATTCTTGCCTGGACAATTCCTGGATCTCTTCCTGCCAGAGGAAACTGGCAGGCTGCAGTTCATGGGGTCGCAAAGAGTCGGACATGACTGAGCGACAAAAAAAAAAAAAAAAACTGGAGGGAAGTAACCAACAACCTCTAAATTCCTTTTTTCTTGATTTATATTTCATTTAGAAACTGTCAGATGTACACAGTTTTTATTTTTTAAAGCCAAGTTAGTTGATAGGTAACTTATACATGTAGAAAATTTACCCTTTTAGGTTTACACTTCAATAAATTTGGGGAAATTTATACAATTGTGTTGCTACTACCTCAGTCAAGTACTTCTCCTAACCTCTAGTCCATGGCAGCCAATGATCGAGTTTCTCTTCCAATTGTTTTATCTTTCCCAAACTGTCACATAAATGGAATCAGACAGTATAAATGGAATCCATATAAGTGGAATCAGCCTTTTGAGTCTGACTTCTTTCAGCTACCATAATGCCGTTGAGATTCATTCACATTGTTGTAAGTTACCAGTAGTCCATTCCATTTTATTGCTGAATATTCTATTGTATTGATATCCACACTTGGTCAATATCCTACCAATTAATTGAGATTTGGGTTGTTTCCAGACTTTGGTGATTGAGAATAAAGCTGCTATAAATATTTGCATACAGGTTTTTTGCAGACATGTTTCCAGTCTTCTGGGTGAAATGTGTCATAATGTGATTGCTGGGTTGTACAGTAAGTGTATATTTAGCTTGATAAGAAACTGTCAGTATTAATCTGAAGCTTAGAATATAGCCTGTCACCTTGCTCACTTGTCCCCACCCCTTATATCATGGGCATGATAATTCTTGGTTCCTAAATTCAAACAAACCATGGATTAATAACCAAGGAAGGCCACTTGTCTTCCACTTATTTGGAAGAAACAGAATAGTTCATAGAATATTCTCAATGTTTTCAAAGCAAACTTTAGAAGTTACCCTGTTTTAATGACAGTACAGCTAAAAATCTTGTTTGATCATTTATTAAATGTGTCTAGGAAGTTTGCAAGTCTTCATTTAAACCTGCCATACTGAGGTCCAGTGATGTTAACCTTCTATTGATGTACACAGGAAAACAATGAAGAATCGCTATATGGAACTCTATGACCTTAATAAAGACTTGCTCAATGGATATAAAATTCGCTGTAACAATCACACAGAACTGTTGGGAAGCCTCAAAGCAGTAAATCAAGCCATTCAAAGAGCAGGTCGTCTACGTGGTAAGTCCCTTTTGGTAGCACTGCATTTCGTCTTTAATTTCGGGGTGAGAAGCATTAAAGATGGTAGCTTCAAGAATTCCTATCAGGGCTTGTATCTATAAAGATACCTTTCACATTCAAGTTGGTACCATTCACTTGAGTTTAGCCAGCCTACTGTTTGGCTTTAGTCTGCCAACTTCAGAGGGGAAAGACTTTCAGTTCCTTTTTTTTTTTTTAAAGACTTGTTTATTTTTGGCTGTGTAGGGTCTTCGTTGCTGCGCTTGGGCCTTCTTCAGTTGTGGCGAGCAGGAGCCAGCAGTGGTCCTAGGTACAAGGACTCCAGTAGTTGCAGCTCACGGGCTCTAGAGCACAGGCTCAGGAGTTGTGGTGCACGGGCTGAGTTGTCCAAGGCATGTGAGATCTTCCCGAGCCTGCTGCATCCTCTAAAGATAAACTGAGTGACATATTCCCAAGAGGAAGGCCTTAAATACTCAAATACTTCTATTGGAATCTGCTGTTTTGAGTCAGTGCTTTGACCTCCTTTTAGAAATAATCTTTGCTAAGTGGATATAAGCTTGGATCCTTTTCTGTAAAACTGACTCTGAAGTTTCTAGGTGTACAATGGTCTCTCAGCTTGGTTTGTGATTAAAGTTCCTCATGAGAATATCTTTTAGGGAATGGTAAGATAAGATAAATTTGTACTATCTAGGACTTCCCTGGTGGTCCAGTGGTTGAGCATCCACCTGCCGGTGTGGGGTACGTGGGTTCCATCCCTGGTCAGGGAAGATTGAAAACGCCGTGGAACAACTGAGCCCGTGCACCGCCACTCCTGAGCCCAAGCGCAGCAGGCGCCACTGCAACGAGAATCCCACGCACTGCAGCTGGAGAGCAGCCCCACTCCTCACTGCTCGAAAAGCCAGAGTGCAGCAACAAGACCCAGTGTAGCCAAAAAGAAACAATTAAAAAAAAAATTTTTTTTTAAATTTGTATTATCTCTAACTCTTCCCTACCCTAGTTTTATGTTGTTTCTAAAGATGGCTTCTGATTTATAATTTCGCTTTAATCATTTTTTGGCTCATGTGGATCTGATGTTTCTTCCCTGACAGTTGGCAAACCAAAGAACCAGGTGATCACTGCTTGTCGGGACGCCATTCGAAGCAACAACATCAACATGCTGTTCCGAATCATGCGGGTGGGGACAGCTTCTTCATAGGAGGGGAGAGACAGGAAACCAGGTTCCTAGAAAAGGTTTCCTTAAACTTCGAGGCTGGTTTGCTTTGGATCACATCCTGGTGAACCCAGGGTGCTGAGAGCAAAAACAACCTTGGTGAGTTTTACCAATGAAAAGACAAAGCACTGTATCTTAGAAGTGTATTTTATTTTTAAAAAATCAGTTGTACTGTTGCTGAGTAATACTGGTTTGTATGGAGGGAAATGAACACTTTTGAAACATTAGGGCTTCTAAGTCCAGTTTTTCTGTATGTATGTAAAGTCAATGTATAGATATATCTTTTCTTGAAATTGTAATTGAATTTGTAATTAAAAATTATCATCTCCTTTTCCATTAAAACGTAAAGGTGTTGCACTTTGTGTTGACTGTAAAAATCACATCAGGACTGCATAGAACCATTTGTATTGTGTGGAGATAAACAAAAACTGGATATTCATTTTGTGCACCTTTTGTAAAACCTCCCATCAATGTATTGAATATATTTATCTTTCAATTATAGGGTATTATTTGTGGCACGTGGGCTCTCTAGCTGTTGTGCCTGGGCTCAGTAGTTGTGGCACACAGGCTTGAGTTGCCTCATGGCAAGTGGGATCCTTAATCCCCCAACCAGGGATCAAACCCATGTCCCCTGAACTGGAAGGCAGATTCTTAACCACTGGACCACCAGGGAAGTCCCAAATATGGATTTATTAAGAACTTATTTACAATAGGAATGTTGGGTCCAAAGATGGATCAAATTCTCTGTATAACAAAACAAAAAAGTTTGGAATTTTCAGAGCTGAAGGTGGAGAAGTGAGTGAGTTCTAAGGCAGTCATGGAGGTTTGGCTCAGAATTATCTATTCCAGTTTTCTTCGAGTATGACTTCCTTTTCCTGTGAAGAGCAGGAAGCTAAAACAGATTTTTCCAGTTCGTTTTCAGCTGGTGATCGAGGTTTGATTCAGCTTCCATTTCAGATGCAGTCACATGATGCTTGGAATTTGAACTGAGATAAATGGGATGCTGGGCAAGCATTTGACCAGTGTGGGTTGCAGCAGAGGTTCTCTGTCTCTGAGACTTGCCCACTGAGCAGAAATAGATTCTGGATAGTAGAAGAGCTGGCATGATGTGGGCCTCTGAAGCTAGAGTGGCAGCTTCCTGGTTTTGCGCAAGGTTTCTTGAATGGAGCACAGTTAAGCTGTTCAGAACCAGTAGCAGTAGCTGATTTAGCGGCTCAGGGTGATGTACGTAATACAGGGTGCCTCCTGGTTTCATAAGCACCTACCTTCCTGATTTGGTAGGAGCAGCTCCTCTGGCAGCCTGGTTCTGCAGTATCGGCTTGAGATTCTTGAATTGCATCCTACAGGTTTTTTGTTTAACCACCTTAGTAATTCCATAAATCACCTGGCATGCTGTAATTGTTTTATTTAAATTGTCTAGCACATTGTCTAACCCGTTCTCTGCATCAGAATATTGACCAATGTGCAGCCCCATAGAGGACATACAGAGAGAGGCCAGGCCTTTCCTCTGTGGTAAGTTAACTTTACTAGTGTCCTCATTTGGTCATGGAAGATTACCTCTCCCATTTCTGAAATTAGAGGAGTTCTAATTTTTATGAGACTAAGCCCCTATAACACTTAAGCAGCTCTGTCCTCCTATGGTGCTGAGCCAATCCCTTGAGCAAAGAAAAGCATCTGCTATTCTCCGTGAAGTGTCTGTCCTCAGTAAGCCTGTCAGCAGCTCCAGGAGTGAACGAACTAGAAACTCGACAACTATCATGCAAACCTAGAAGTACTGTACCAGAATGATTTTCAGCATTATTAACATTTCACCTCTTATAATTAGCAGTTACAAATCTGCCAGTGAAAAAAAAAAACAAAAAAAGAAAAAAAAATCTGCCAGTGGAGTCCTGTGATCACAAAACTAAGTCAACTGCAGTCTCACTTTGACACTAGTGTACAGTAAGACACCACGGCAGCCTGGTGTTTTGCATTTTTGCCTCTTCCCCATCTGGCCCCTGCCCACACGATATGCTCTAGCTCATGAGTCATCTTTTCATCTGTGTGGTACAGAAATCTGCTATTCCTGAAATGAAGCCACATTTGCAAGTTCCAAGTAGTTTTCAAAACTATTCTGTGTGGACTGATTTTATACCAGAGAAGGAATCATCTGCTTTTGTAAGAATGTCCAGTTCACACAGGCTGAAGGGCCTGCCTCTGGTGTCACTCACTCTACCGAGAACCTTTGAACAGGGTTTGTATTTCTCATTCAGTTGTAACAGTGGTAAGTACACAATGATAGTGAAGAGAGATTGCAGCCAAAAATTATTTGTTGAGGAAATGCTGGTCTGGCAGAGGCAGCCCAAGCACTGTTATTTTTCAGTACTCTTTGGGAAAGAAAGAGCACATTCAGAGGAGTTTGGGAGGCAAGCTATAAGCTGTAGAAAAGCCACGTTCAAAATGTTAACAGCCTCTTTCTTGTCTGCATTTCATTCTTCTACATCTTTAAATGAGGGACTGAAATTAGATTATTTATAGGGTTCTTCCTTAAATACTTAATTTTCCTTCTCAACAGAAATACTAATAGGCTCTCAAAATAACTATGAAAATGTTCTTAATTTACATAATGGTTGACATGATAAAGGAAATCTGTCAAGGGGACTTGACCTTACACAGCTGTAGGGAGTGGCAAAGATATCTAAGTTTTTTAGGCTGAGGCTGCGAGTTGAAGTGCACAGGACAGGCAGTCGCCAAGGATGCAGAGTTGGGAAGAACAAGTCGGAGCCCACCAGGACACATTAAAATCCGTGTCAGTTCTTGCCTGACCTCGATGGCGTAGGGGAGACCCTGCATCAGAGAAGCTGAAAGAAGAGCCAATGGAAGGTGGAGCAGTTGCAGGCGCAGGCGCGGATTCCCACTGAGAAGGTGAGCCACTAGGGAAGTTATTCAGTACAATATGTGTGAGGTGCAGAATGACTACTGCTTCATTCTGGCCCTCCATATCTTGCCCAAGAACTTGTGGCTCAGTCTAACTGGACACCCCCTTCAGTATTCTCTCCTGGAAAAACCCATGGACAGAGGAGCCTGGTGGGCTATTTAGTCCATGGGATTGCCAAGGGTCAGACACGGATTTAGTGACAGACTTTCTAACTGGAAAGAGGTTTTGGAATCCTGGGAAATGTAGTTCAGTCTAGCCAAATTGATACATTACACAGCACACAGTGGCTGTCACAGGCTGGTGGGATTCCGGGTGACCTTTATGTTTTCATATGTTGTATTCTTCACAATGAACATGTATTACAGAGATAATCTGATAAAAAGAGCTATTCTCTTTGGGGAAAAAACATCTCCCTTTATTAAAAGGAATTATAACAATTAAGAGATGACATTTTTACAGGTGAACATCACAGCTTGTACCTGAAAGAAGTATAAAAAAGATGCCCATGTTGTAATTCCTCTTTTGCTGCTTAACAGTTGTCCACAGTGGCTCCAGGCCCTAAAAAAACTAAGATGAAGAATGAAATACTAAGGAAAAACAACTTCTTCATCACTGGGTACCTTCAGTGCAGAGAAGTGACCTGCAAGTTACACTTAGCAGCCAAAGAGGTACCGCTGTAGGTGATGTAACTGACAGCAACATCACAGTCTGGCTCTCAGGGATTCTCTCCCCTTGGACACCAGAATACTCTAGTGTACGGAAAACATGTTGATAGGCCATAAACACACTGAGATTAAGGAGAATGTAATAAGTACATTTTAATGCTTGTGTAGGATGCTAAGACTTAAGACTCAGTGCTCCAGAGCTCTTGGATGTTACCTAGAACAATGAGTCTCAAACTGTTTTCCATACTTGGCACACACCTGCTCAGCCCTATTCCTGGGTTTATGCCACTAACATAAACATTTTTATGTTAACAAAAGTAATATTACAGGATGACCTTCAGTCTGCAGGAACTTAAAAAGCAAGCTTGGAAATTTAAACCAACAAAAACAAAGCAGTAGTTGTAATCCACCTGAGTGTCACTATGCTATGGTTAAAATATTGTAGTCCCCAAACCAGTATGCATGAAAAACGGTTCCCACCATGTCAATGGGAAAGACAATATATAAGAACCAGTTCTAGGTATTATTTTAGTTTATCTTTTAAAAATTACTGTTTTAGGGAGAAGGAGCCAAGATGGCGGAGGAATAGGACGGGGAGACCACTTTCTCTCCTACAAATTCATCGAAAGACCATTTGAATGCTGAGCAAATTGCACAAAACAACTTCTGATCGCTAGCAGAGGACATCAGGCGCCCAGAAAAGCAGCCCATTGTCTTCGAAGGGAGGTAGGACAAAATATAAAAGATAAAAACGGAGTCAAAAGAGCTACGGACGGAGACCCGTCCCGGGAAGGGAGTCTTAATAGAGGAAGTTTCCAATCACCAGGAAACCCTCGCACTGGCGGGACTGGGGGAAGTTTTCGGCAATCTAACTGGGAGGAAAAACTAAACAAGGCCCACAGATTACGTGCCTAAAAGCAACTCACAGAAGAAAAGTACCCCAGACGCCCGTACCCGCCAGCAACAAGCGGGGGCGGGACGGAGAGGAGCGGGCGGCATTGCTTAGGGCCCGAACACACTGCCGGCGGTTCGCAAAACAAAGGGACTGAGAAAGTCCAGAGAAGAGCCGGCCCATCCCCGCTGGAGGTAGGAGGCAGGGGGTAGGGGAAAAGGGCAAACTCAGCCCCTGAGAAGCCACCCCCTCCCACACTGCAAACAGGCCCCCGGTTCCTATCTAAAGACTTCCTGAGACCCGACTGGCGGCGCGCGCTGGGGCCGCGGAGGGAAAAAGCGCGCCGTCCACGGGGAGATTGCGCCCAAGCCTCTGGCTGCCTGGGCTGCCCGCCGCGGAGGGAAAAGGCGCGCCACCTCCGGGGAGAGTGCACCCAAGCCTCTGGCTGCCTGGGCTGCTCAGGCCGGGGAAGGCACAAAACGCAGGCGCAACCGAATCCGCGCTTTTGTGGAGTACCCGAAAACTGGAACCGCACTCAACGCAGGGCCCGCTCCATATAGAGCAGCCGGGAGCCTGAGCAGTGTAGACGGCAAAAGCACTGACACCCGTGAGTGGGGCAAACCCAGTGTGGCCGGAACGCGGTGAGTGCTATCCACACAGAGCGGTATCTGTCTGCAGCGCCCCGCCCTCCCCGTAGCAGGACTGAACTGAACTAGAGAACCTAAATAAGAGATCACCTCCGCCCGCCTGTGTCAGGGCGGAAATTAGACACCAAAGAGACGGCAAACAGAAGCCAAATAAACAAAGGGAACCGCTTCAGAAAGGACTGGTGCAACAGACTAAAATCCCTGAAGGTAACACCGACTACACCAGAAGGGGCCTACAGATATCGAGAAGTGTAAGCTGGAAAGAGGAGCTATCTGAAATTGAACTGAACCTACGCTGACTGCAACAACTCCAGAGAAATTCCTAGATATATATATATATATTTTTTTTTAATTTAAAAAAATTTTTTTTTTCTATCCTTTTTTTAAATTTTTTTAAATTTTTTCTCTTTTATTTTCTTTTAAAATTCCCTATTACTCCCCCATTACTCCTCAACTTTCATTTTCATATATTTTTACGATTTTTTTAATTAGGGAAAAAAAAATTTTTTTTTCTTTTTCTTGTTTTTCTCTCCTATTTCCTTTTAAAGTCCTCTAATACTCCTCTATTATTCCTTAATTTTCATTTTCATTTCACTATAACCTTGCCAAAAAAAAAAAAAAGAGAGAGAAACCCTATTTTTAAATCAAACTTCATATACATTTCTAAATTTTTTTTTGTTTTTGTTTTTCAATATTGTATTTCAAAGAGTCTAACCTCTACACTAGATTTTTAATCTTTGTTTTTCAGTAGTATGTGATATAAATTTTGGTCATTTAAGAATCCAATATTCAGTTCCCATTTCTATTCAGGAGTGTGGTGATTACTCTCCCACTTTTGACTCTCTGTTTTCTACCTCGGAACACCTCTATTTCCTCCTTTCCCCTTCTCTTCCCAATCCAACTCTGTGAATCTTTGTGGGTGTCTGGGCTACGGAGAACACTTTGGGAACAGATAACTGCGTAGATCTGTCTCTCTCCTCTTGAGTCCCCTTTTTCTCCTCCTGATCACCTCTATCTCCTTCCTCCCTCTCCTATTCTTCATGTAACTCTGTGAACCTCTCTGGTTGTCTCTCACGGTGGAGAATCTTTTCACCATTAACCTAGAAGTTTTATTATCAGTGCTGTATAGTTGGAGAAGTCTTGAGACTATTGGAAGAACAAAACTGAAATCCAGAGGCAGGAGACTTAAGCCCAAATCTTGAGAAAACCAGAAAACTCCTGACTACACGGAACATTAAGGAATAAGAGACCATCCAAAAGCTTCCATACCTACACCAAAACCAACCACCACCCAAGAGCCAATAAGCTCCAGTACAAGACATACCACGCAAATTCTTTAGCAACGCAGAAACATAGACCTGAGTGTCAACATACAGGCTCTCCAAAGTCACACCTAACACATAGATCCATCGCAAAACTCATTACTGGACACTCCGTTGCACTCCAGAGAGAAGAAATCCAATTCCACGCACCAGAACGCTGACACAAGCTTCCCTAACCAGGAAACCTTGACAAACCAATCGTCCAACCCCACCCACTGGGTGAAACCTCCACAATAAAAAGGAACCTCAGACCACAAGAATACAGAAAGCCCACTCCAGACACAGCAATCTAAACAAGATGAAAAGGCAGAGAAATACCCAACAGCTAAAGGAACATGAAAAAAGCCCACCAAGTCAAACAAAAGAGGAGGAAATAGGGAATCTACCTGAAAAAGAATTTAGAATAATGATAATAAAAATGATCCAAAATCTTGAAAACAAAATGGAGTTACAAATAAATAGCCTGGAGATAAAGATTGAGAAGATGCAAGAAATGTTTAATAAGGACCTAGAAGAAATAAAATAAAATAAAAATTACTGTTTTATAACAACCAATACTGAATATTAGTATAGGAAATGTGTAAAATTTATAAATACCCCATATAATAAACATACATGCTAAAATTTTTTTTTTACCGATTGAGGTGCAAGATCAAAATTTTGAAACCATCAGCCTAAAGAAAGTGAAACTGTCTTCACTTAAATGCAAATTTTAGTACTCAAAGTTTTAGGAGATAAAAAGGACAAAGCCCAATGCTTTTCCTACTAATTTGTAAAATCCAAAATAAAAGCTACTGCAGTAGCTCATAATAAATGTAAAAAAGAGAAAGTTAGCAAGGAGACAGCACTGGAATGGAATGAGAAGCGCATCTTTCACCTCATGATGCAGTGACAGTGAGCGCCCTCCCATGCACACCCATGCACACAGGCGGCAGGTATCGTACCAGCCCCTTGAACAGGGCAGGGGAAAAAGAATGTAACAGGACAGCTGCTTGGCATTCTGATATGGCCTTTAACATCTGGTCTCTTAAAGAAAGGCTAGTTTGACAGATGACCCTACAGTATTTGGGACATGAAAGTCACATATGAGATTAGAATCATCTGGTTAGACTGGAGGCTCGACTCCAGCGTGGAGCAGTCATGGGCACCTGGAAACCACTGCACAGGGCACAGGTAGCCACCCTTGTCACTGATCAGAAGTCTCTCGGGGCCACGTAGTTTCAGACCAGGCTTTTTTTCCAAGGGAATATACTAAACATTGTCTTAAGTCTATACAGTCCAGAGTCACAGTGAAACAAAGCCATAGGCAGTGGGAGGAAGCCAGAGGGGCCCAGAATCAAAGGGGGTGTGAGGTTCTATAATCTTCTAAACCAATAAGATTGGGAAGGACAGAAACTAGTCATAAATTTATGACTCTCTCTCTCTATATATATACATACTTTAAAAAAATCAACCACTGGAAACATGGATGAAGCTTGAAGATTTTACACTAAGTGAAATTAAGCCAGTCACAAAAAGACAAATATTAGTAGATACCTAGAGACAAAGTAGAATGGTGGCTTCCACAGGCTAGGGAGGGGAAAGCAGGGAGTTACTATTTAATGGGGACAGGTGCAGCTGGGGAAGGTGGGAAAGCTCTGCAGATGGATGGTGGTGAAGGCTGCAGGACCACGTGAATGTACTAATGCCACTGAACTGTACACTTCAAAATGGTTAAAATGGTACATTTTATGTCGTGTATATTTTACCACACACAGTTTTTAATCATTGAAGAAGCCAATATGGAAAATGAAGAACTGAATGTTAAAGACAAAACTCTTAAAAAACAAAAAAATCAAGAGGTAAGTACCTAGCTCCCAGCTCAAGGTCTGAATTGACGACAATCATCATGAGCCCTACTAAAGGACAGCCACACTCAGTTTTTAAGACCGCTGTCACACAGGTCACCTTGTGGCTCTCCTTCATTCGATGTCTTAACTCTTCCAGCTGTGCCAGTACTCAGGAAAGGTCTTTTTCCAGCTTTGCCCTGCTTTGTCATTCGTAATAGACAAATGAAAAGTCCCAGAAACCTGTTCTGTTTGGGAAGCTTTTCTTTTGTTCTAGGCTTCGGTGGTTAATATGCTTGACAAATTTCAGAGTTTCTCTATCTCTGTAGACCAGTGCCAAAGAGTTGTTTTCTGGATTCACTGTTAGCAGCTGAAACAGGTAAATACAATGATACATCAGAACACTGCTGATTCTCATCTCTTTTCTTAAACAGATTTTTCCATATCAAATACTCAAACTCTGGCGATAGGGATCTTTTAAAAGATCCTTTATTAGGAAGAGCTATTGCTCTGGCTCTCAAGACATATTACAGCAAGCCCCATTCTAGTACATACCCAGAAAGGTTCTACCTCATGCATCTAGGTTTTCCAACCTTGAAAGATTCATGAAAATGTACCAACTGACTCTTCATTTATTTGGAATTTCTCAGCTGGGTAGAATGCCTAAAGATTATCCTTTAGCATCTTTACTGCATGCTGAGTACTTTCTACTAGAAATCAGAACCACTGCCAGATAGACCAACATGGATTTATCAGCTAAAGATACTGGCATAAAGTCATCAAAGTTGGGTCTCTGAAGAATGAAAACATTTTTAAGAACTAAAAAGGATGGTTTGCTATCAGAAGCAACTTACCTCTTCGTCTTCTCCTTTGGCAACGTAGGAGGTAAAGCCACCATACTCTGGCTCCCAGCCTTACAGGGGCAAACAAACAGTGTTCAGAAAGCTCTCACCGCAAGAGTTACATTATCTGTTTGAATCACTGATTCCATGCTGCTTAACACTGGGGGTCTGGGAGCTGAGTTGTACCCAACTCTGACTTAGGAGCCTGAATTTATCATTCAACCAACACTGAGTAAGAGCTGAAAACTAAAATATAAAATATACCTGCAACGACACTTACATAAAAGCTCTGGGGGATTTCTTAGGAATTATTATTTGGTCCATCTCCTATACCTCGATCACAAATACAAATAATACTCTGAGCTGGAAGACTGAAATTCATGACCCCTAAGACCCTTTCAACATAGTCTCCTGTGATCTAAGATCATAGCCAAGGCAGATAACTTCTGAATTGGTTCAGTTAGAGAGGGTCCCTCGGGAGCGACTGTCTCTTACCTTCACAGCCACAGTAGAGCAGTAAGTCCAGGGCAAATTCAGTCTTGCTGTTGTCATGGATTAAAGTGTAGTGACCGGTCTTCCAATGCCTCAGTTCCCCCTGACATGTGGGAACACCTGATTCTAAGAAAAGCGTAACAGAAGGTCAGAAAAAAACGACCTTGATACCACTGCTAGATTGCATAAGAATGATAATTGGGAGTAGTACAGCACTAAAGAGAAACCATTTCCATAAACCTGAAGCTGACCTGTGGCTCTATTATAATACTATATATAATACATAAGCCTTATAATGAACAAAAGTTAACTCATTACAATGAATTTCAGATGGAGTATATACTCTAGCCGCCCACCCCCCATTTTAATAAATAACGTAATTATTTTTTAAGTAGAATTTTTTTAGAGCAGTTTACAGAAAACTTAAATTTCCCAGAAAGTACAGTTCCCCTGTGCCTGTCACGCACAGCCCCTGCCCTTCCCTATCAGTTTCCTCTATTGCTAACATCCTGTCTTAGTGGGGTGGTTATAACTGACCAGTGTCAGGGACTAGTGTTAACTGATGTCCACAGTTTACATTAGGGTTCACTCTTGGTGTTGTACATTTTACTGGTTTAATGACATGTGTCCATTCCATCTGTCTGCACATGATTAAACTTCCTCTACTTTTAATAATTTCCTTCTACCTATCTGTCCAAGTTCAAGCAGGTTTTTCTTAGGGTGATACTGGTTCTTAGCAGAAAGAAACCACTCATCCTCCTCTCCTTTAGTTCTTGTGTTTTAGAGTAAGTTTAGGCAAAGCCAGTGGTATTTCTCTCTACCATTTGTACTACTGTTCAGTTCAGTCGCTCAGACGTGTCCGACTCTTTGCGACCCCATGAAACTGCAGTACGCCAGGCCTCCCTGTCTACCCAAACCCATGTCCATTGAGTCAGTGATGCCATCTAGCCATCTCATCCTCTGTCATCCCCTTCTTCTCCTGCCCCCAATCCTTCCCAGCATTAGGGTCTTTCCCAATGAGTCAACTCTTCGCATGAGGTGGCCAAAGTATTGGAGTTTCAGCTTCAACATCAGTCCTTCCAATGAACACCCAGGACTGATCTTTAGGATGGACTGGTTGGATCTCCTTGCAGTCCAAGGGACTCTCAAGAGTCTTCTCCAACACCACAGTTCAAAAGCATCAATTCCTCTGTACTCAGCTTTCTTCACAGTCCAACTTTCACATCCATACATGACTACTGGAAAAACCATAGCCTTGACTAGACGAACCTTTTTTGGCAGTGTGATGTCTCTGCTTTTTAATATGCTATCTAGGTTTATCATAACTTTCCTTCCAAGGAGTAAGCATTTTTTAATTTCATGGCTGCAATCACCATCTGCAGTGATTTTGGAGCCCAAAACAATAAAGTCTGACACTGTTTCCCCATCTATTTGCTATGAAGTGATGGGACCAGATGCCATGATCTTAGTTTTCTGAATGTTGAGGTTTGAGCCAACTTTTTCACTCTCCTCTTTCTCTTTCATCAAGAGGCTTTTTAGTTCCTCTTCACTTTCTGCCATAAGGGTGGTATCATCTGCATATCTGAGCTTATTGATATTTCTCCCAGCAATCTTGATTCCAGCTTGTGCTTCATCCAGCCCAGCATTTCTCATGATGGACTCTGTATATAAGTTAAATAAGCAGGGTGACAATAGACAGCCTTGATGTACTCCTTTTCCTATTTGGAACCAGTCTGTTGTACCATGTCCAGGACTAACTGTTGCTTCCTGACCTGCATACAGGTTTCTCAAGAGACAGGTCAGATGGTCTGGTATTCCCATCTCTTTAAGAATTTTCCAATTTACTGTGATCCATACAATCAAAGGCTTTGGCACAGTCAATAAAGTAGATGTTTTTCAGGAATTCTCTTGCTTTTTCGATAATCCAGAGGATGTTGGCAATTTGATATCTGGTTCCTCTGCCTTTTCTAAAACCAGCTTGAACATCTGGAAGTTCACAGTTCACATACTGCTGAAGCCTGGCTTGGAGAATTTTGAGCATTACTTTACTAGCGTGTGAGATGAGTGCAATTGTGCGGTAGTTCGAGCATTCTTTGGCATTGCCTTTCTTTGGGACTGGAATGAAAACTGACCTTTTCCAGTCCTGTGGCCATGGCTGAGTTTTCCAAATTTGCTGGCATATTGAGTGCAGCACTTTCACAGCATCATCTTTCAGGATTTGAAATAGCTCAACTGGGATTCCATCACCTCCACTAGCTTTGTTCATAGTGATGCTTTCTAAGGCCCACTTGACTTCACATTCCAAGATGTCTGGCTCTAGGTGAGTGATCACACCATTGTGATTATCTGGGTCGTGAAGATCTTTTTTGTACAGTTCTTCTTTATGTTCTTGCCACCTCTTCTTAATATCTTCTGCTTCTGTTAGGTCCATACCATCTCTGTCCTTTATTGAGCCCATCTTTGCATGAAATGTTCCCTTGGTAGCTCTGATTTTCTTGAAGTGATCTCTAGTCTTTCCCTGTACTATTGTTAGCCTAATAAAATGTGCTGGATATTCTTCCTGCCCAGAATGCTCTTCCTATAGATACGTCTTGTCATTCAGACCTGAGCTTAATGACAGCTCACCCAGACTGCTCCTGTATCCAAGAGGCCACCCTGGTCATTCCTCCGCATATAACCCTACTCAGATTTCCTGCACCGCAAATATTATTTGACATTTTGTTGTCTGTGTATCATTTAATCTCTGGCCTCTCTCTTACTAGAATATATGGGCTCAGGGAGAGCTGAGACTGTGTCTGTCTGCTTCTCCAGCTCCAGAAGCAGGGCCTAGCACATAAGTAAGTGCTTAAGAAATACCTGTTAACTGAATAAACCACTGAACTGTGACTACCTAATGGTAAACTAAGGACACAACATAACAGCAGCTCACCTTTCTTCCCTTCGTCCTCCTCTGGCTCTGGGTCTGTCGGTCCGTCGCTCTGTAGACTGCTGTCGCTGGTGGCCGCCCGACTGTCCTCTGGCTCAGAAGAGCTGTGACTAGTCCCTTCTTCAGTGTTCTCAGCAGCAGAGACTGCGGCTCGCTCCTTCTTGTCCTCGGGCTCTTCTTCTTCTGAAGGCGCCAGGAAGTGAAGCTTCAGGCCGGTGAAGTTGGAGAGCAGCAGGAACACGGCCTCGGAGCGGAACAGCGCCATGCAGTCCCTCAGGATGTCAGGAAGCTGGCTCTCCTCCGCCTTCTCGTAAAACCTGCCAGGCAGCAAGGCAAGGTGCTCATCACCTGACATGGATGGAACGCCACTCACGGGGTGAGAGCTGGTCATTAGCTTGGCACCCCTCTCCCCTCTCCCTGGCAGAGCTTCCGGAACCCCAGTTTGTTACACACTGAGACTCTAGACTTCCCTGGTGGCCCCCTGTCTGAGAACCCACCTTGCGGTGCAGCGGACACGGGTTCCATCCCTGGTCTGGGGAGACCCCACATGCTGTGGAGCAGCTACTGCAGGCTGTGTGCTCTAGAGCGCGTGCGCCACAACCAGAGAAACCACCGCAATGAGACCCCATCACGCCACCACTAGAGAAAACCCGAGTGCAGCAACAAAGACCCAGCAAAGCCAATAAACAAATGTTTAAAAAACTGAGGTATAAATGACATGTAACATTTAAAAATAAAGAGATCCTGTTAGGGTCTCCTACTGGATGTGCCTGAGAACAAAACATTAGGGCAAATGTCCTATAATTGGAGGTGAGCCTCACAGACAGACCAGGTAGATGCTAAATGCAGAAGCAAATGTCCTAAACGATGAGTTCTACCTTTTGTTAGGGGGACCTCGGCTGCTCCATTCCACACCTCCTCTCTCCAAAGCCTCACACACCTCTGCAAATTTCTCAGGCTGGAGAATGAGAAAATGAAGCAGCACTTAGCAGAGCTTTCTACATCCCACACTGGTGGCTGCAGCCACAGCAGCTCTGCAGAATCATTCTGGCTCATTCCCAGTGGGGCCAGGTGACCTTCTTCACCCGTTTACACCTGGTACCCCAGTCCTGACAGCGTGAAGTGAGAGCAAAGGCTGGATAAACTGTCAGCATGCTTTAGCCAAGAGACCTGAGTGTCAATTTAGGCCATTACCTTATGTACCTGTATGTCTTATGTCAAACTGCTAGACCTCTAGGATTCCTGCATTTATAAAACAAGGATCCTAATGCAGATTCTTTAATTCATGTGAGGAGAAAAACTGCATTAGTATAGTTATAACTAATTAAATTAATACACTATACATTACAACTGATACACTGTTATAATGAAAATGTCCATGTAATAATACATTCTTTAGGCCTCTGCTCATTCCCTTCATTTAATCAGCATTCTAAATTTAAAAAGTTCAGTATAGTACAAGAAACTAATTAATCTAAATATTCTCCATAAGAGGCTTTCCTAAGTACTTGTTTAAATGCAGTTTCCCAAGGAGTGCTCTACAAACAGTAATCCTATAAGTTGTGAAACAGGAAAGAGGATTCCAAAGCATGGTTTATGTAAGTTGAATTAAATAGGATTTAAAAAGTTCATTTACTATAATACTTCTCAAATTCCTTAAAATGCTATTATCTGCTATATAATTCCAAGAGGCAGAATGTAGTGTGTCTCAACTTTTTTTTAATGTAGGGACAACTCTTCGGACTGTGATTCCATGGGACCCAGGGTCACCTGGGAAGAACCACATCTGTCTATGTGATCTCATTCAGTCATCATGACAGCTCTTCAGGATAGGCAAGGCCAGTATTATCCCAGTTTAACTGATGACGAAATAAAAGCTGAGACCTCTAGTGATTTGCTGAGGTCAGTAAAACCAGAGCCAAGACGTGAATATAGTCTTCTGACTTCTAACCCAGGTCTCTTTCCACTGTAAGGTGCCACCTCGTCATTCTCAAACATGTGCCACTAATTTGTTAATGTAGGGACAATTATTTAAAAGTAATCCAGTCATCAAAAATGAATAGGGTGGAAACTACATACCACTGCCCCACAGTATACAAGTGTGTGAGTGAGACAGTGTGTGTGTGATTAAGAGTGTAGAGAACTGGGGAATAAACACCCAAGAGACTCAGCCTACTAACATGCAACTGATACCAATGTTAGCTAGTATCATTTCATCATTTGAAGAGGATGATACAAAATTGTAACCAGGAACAAAACAAAAACTAAAAGCTCTCTAAGTGATGCCTGTTCACCCATCCGAGAAGCAAGGCTATGTGCCAAACATGGTATTATCAGACAGGATTTGCTGGCCTACCTGAAGGAATTCTTTTAGGAGAATTTCAGAGCTTTCCTCAAATTCTTCTTGAATTTGAGCTTGGTATTCCATGTCAAGATAAGTAGGGTTGATCCAATCATACAAAATTTCATGCTGGAAAGGAGCAGCAGATGTGAAGGGTGAGTTAATTATTCCCTCTGCTTTTGTTCTGCCATCATGTCATACCAGTAAAATTAGACTTCATACTGCCAATTCAGGGGGCCTGGGTTCAATTCCTAGTGAGCGAACTAGATCCCTGCAATCCCTGCAACTAGATCCGTGCTGCAATGAAGACCCAGTGCAGTCAAATAAGTAAAATAAAAAAGAGAAAAGCAAATGATATGCCACAGCTTCTAAGATGAGAATCCCAGCAACAAGAATCTATACTTACATCTTGAGGGATGTGAGGGCTCCGAGTTATGAGAGGTTCAAAGTAGGTGGGAGGCCTGGGCAGTGAAGGACCATGAAACCAGCCGCTGATGGACAAACGTGACTTTTCTTGGGACAAGACCTCAGACACCTGAGAGGGCAGGACAAGCAGCACATCATCATAGAGACGAGGGGGGAAGGTTACTAGCCACGGCTCACTAATTTCAGGACCCTTTACACTAGGTGTGAAAACCACCTGGCCGGGTAGTCCAACCGGACGCTGCCACATTTAGAAAGGGGGAGACTGAAAAGCATGCTCTTTGGCACTCTATGTATTTGTGGCTTACAGTCTTTACCTGGTGAAAGGATACTGGAGACACTTCAAAGAAAACCAGTGTGTTCCACGAAGGGATAAGGGACTTGACAATCTGCTTCGGCTGAAAGTGTTCTGCGCCGGAAGAGAACATATCCATAAACGAGCTTCATCATCATTAACCACTTCCAGGCTGCCTTGTTTCCACCTTGACAATTTGCAAATTTCTAAGGGTAGCTAGATGTCCCCTTCAGATCCCGAAATGCCACCCCCTTCCATCTGTTTCTCTTAACACAGTTCTGCTAGGCGACATCTGTTCTTACTCCACCATGCATTACTGATGAAAGCTGGAAAAAGTTCTGAACAACTTCTGGAGTCAAGTTCTGGTGTCAGTCATTAAAAACAAACAAAAAAGGACCCTGATCTCCTGGCAGATTCATAACCAAGGGCGGCTGTACATGCGCTCTACACTCCCATGGCCAGCATTCAGAACCAGGATGACTGTTCCTCATCTTAAATCAACTCCAGTTTATCTCTGGAGGAATCATTATTTCAAGCACAACCCAGAGAGATGGCTGTCAGGGCTGGCATTCGATGCCCCTGTGGCTGTCAGGGTAATGGATGGCTTCCATCTCCTCTGATGAGCACAGACATTGCGTGTAAGAACTTGGAAGTGTCTGCTGGTGTTGAAGTGCATGCCTCTGTCTTACCATCAACGCTGAACAGGTCCAGGGTGCCCCCCAAGCTGGCATCCCAGGGAGGAACCAGGTAAAGAATGAAAGCGATCCGGCGCCCTTCCAGCTCGTCATCGTGACAGAGCAGGGCATCTGTAACAGATGAGCACACACCATGATGTCCCCGCATGGGCAATGAACAGCTGCCTGCCTCTGTGCTTACTGTCAGTCCATCTGCCAGTGCTCTGTAACGGCAGCTCCTCCAGCTTTATTACAACACTATTTCTCCTCTTGTAATTACAGAAATAAAACTCAATGCAGAAAACTCTAAAAACACAGAAGAACACACAGAGATGGTCACTTCCAGTATTTTTCCAACATATATGTATTTGCCTTTTAAAAATAGTATCCTACAGTGGTTTTTTTGTCGACTTTTTTTTTTAATTACATGGCAAATGTCTTTTCTGTATCACTATAAACACTTGTCATCTCTTCTAAGGCAAACCATGCAACATGACATTAATCCAAGTCTACACCCCAACCACTAATGCTTAAGAAGCTGAATGATTCTATAAAGACCTACAAGACCTTCTAGAACACATACATACACACATAAAAGGTGTCCTTTTCATCACAGGGGACTGGAATGCAAAAGTACAAAGTAAAGAGATATCTAGAGCAACAGGAAAGTCTGGCCTTGGAGTACAAAGTGAGGCAGGGCAAAAGCTAACAGTTCTGCCAAGAGAACACATGGTCATAGCAAAAACCCTCTTCCAACAACACAAGAGACAACTCTACACATGGACATCACCAGATGGTCAATACCGAAATCAGACTGATTATATTCTTTGCAGAGAAGATGGAGAAGTTCTATACAGTCAGCAAAAACAAGACCGAGAGCTGACTATGGCTCAGTTCATCAGCTCCTTACTCCAAAATTCAGGCTCAAATTGAAGAAAGTAGGGAAAATCACTAGACCATTCAAATATGACCAAAATCAAATCCCTCATGATTATACAACTCTCACATCCATACATGACTACTGGAAAAACCATAGCCTTGACTAGACGGACCTTTGTTGGCAAAGTAATGTCTCTGCTTTTTAACATGCTGTCTAGGTTAGTCATAACTTTTCTTTCAAGGAGTAAGTGTCTTTTTACTTCATGGCTGCAGTCACCATCTGCAGTGATTTTGGAGCCCCCCAAAATAAAGTCTGCCACTGTTTCCCCATCTATTTGCTATGAAGTGATGGGACCAGATGCCATGATCTTAGTTTTCTGAATGTTGAGTTTTAAGCCAACTTTTTCACTCTCCTCTTTCAGTTTCATCAAGAGGCTCTTTAGTTCTTCTTCACTTTCTTCCGTAAGGGTGGTATCATCTGCATATCTGAAGTTACTGATATTTCTCCCAGAAATCTTGATTCCAGCTTGTGCTTCATCCAGCCCAACGTTTCTCATGATGTACTTTATATAAGTTAAATAAGCAGGGTGACAATATACAACCTTAATGTACTCCTTTTCTTATTTGGAACCAGTCTGTTGTACCATGTCCAGTTCTAACTGTTGCTTCTTGACCTGCATACAGATTTCTCATGAGGCAGGTTAGGTGGTCTGGTATTCCCATTTCTTTCAGAATTTTCCACAACTTATTGTGATCCACACAGTCAAAGGCATTGGCATAGTCAATAAAGCAGAAATAGATGTTTTTCTGGAACTCTCTTGCTTTTTTGATGATCCAGTGACACTGGCAATTTGATCTCTGGTTCCTCTGGACTTCAAGGAGATCCAACCAGTCCATCCTAAAGAAAATCAGTCCTGAATGTTCATTGGAAGGACTGATGTTGAAGCTGAAACTCCAATACTTTTGCCACCTCATGCGAAGAGCTGACTCATTTGAAAAGACCCTGATGCTGGGAAATATTGAAGGCAGGAGGAGAAGGGAAAAACAGAGGATGAGATGGTTGGATGGCATCACCGACTCAATGGACAAGAGTTTGAGTAAACTCTGGGAGTTGGTGATGGACAAGGAGGCCTGGCGTGCTGCAGTCCATGGGGTCACAGAGAATCAGACACGACTGAGTGACTGAACTGAACTGATGACTATACAGTGCAAGTGACAAATTAGATTCAAGGGATTAGATCTGGTAGACGGAGTGCTTGAAGAACTAAGGACAGAGGTTCTTAACACTGTATAAGAGGTGGTGACCAAAACCATCCCCTCAAAAAGGAAGTGCAAGATGGCAAAGTGGCTGCCTGAGGAGGCCTTACTGAGAAAAGAAGTAAAAGGCAAAGGAGAAAGGCAAAGATATACCAAACTGAATGCAGAGATCTAGAGAATAGCAGAGATAAGAAAGCCTTCTTAAGTGAACAATACAAAGAAGTAGAGGAAAGCAATAGAATAGAAAAGACTATAGAGATTTCTTCAATAAAATTGAAGATACCAAGGGAACATTTTATGTGAAGATGGGCACAATAAAGGACAGAATGGTATGGACCTAACAGAAGCAGAAGATACTAAGAAGAGGTAGCAAGAATATACAGAAGAACTGTGTAAAAATGGTCTTAATGACCCAGATAACTGTGATGGTGTGGTCACTCACCTAGAGCCAGTCACCCTAGAGTATGAAGTAACGTGGGCCTCAGGAAGTATTACTACAAACAAAGCTAGTAGAGGTGATGGAATTTCAGCTGAGCTATTTCAAATCCTAAAAGATGATGCTGTTAAAGCGTGTGCTCAATATGCCAGTAAATTTGGAAAACTCAGCAGTGGCCACAGGACTAGAAAAGGTCAGTTTTCATTCCAATCCCAAAGAAAGGCAATGCCAAAGAATGTTCAGATAACCATATAACTGCACTCATTAAACATGCCAGCAAGATTATGCTTAAAATCCCAGATGGCTAACAGACACATGAAAGGATACTCAACATTGCTCATTAGAGAAATGCAAATCAAAACTACAATGACGTATCACCTCACACCTGTCAGAATGGCCATCATCAAAAAGTCTACAAACAATAAATGCTGGAGAGGGTGTGGAGAAAAGGGAACCCTTTTGCACTGCTAGTGGGAATATAAACTGATACAGCCACAGTGGAAGACAATATAGAGATTCCTTAAAAAACTAGGAATAAAACCACTATATGACCCAGCAATCCCACTCCTAGGCATATACCCTGAGGAAACCAAAACTGAAAGAGACACATGTACCCCAAGGTTCACTGCAGTACTATTAACAATAGCTAGAACATGGAAGCAACCTAGATGTCCATAAACAGATGAATGGATAAAGAAGTTGTGGTACATATACACAATGGAATATTACTCAGCCATAAAAAGGAACACATCTAAGTCAGTTCTAATAAAGTGGATGAACCTAGATCCTATTATACAGAGTGAAGTAAGTCAGAAAGAGAAAGATAAATATCACATACTAACAAATATATATGGAATCTAGAAAGATGACACTGATGAATTTATTTGCAAGGGAGCAATGAATAAACAGACAAAGAGAACAGACTCATGGACATGGCGAGAGGGAAGGAGAGAGGGTGAGATGTATGGCGAGAGTAACATGGAAACTTGTACCATATGTAAAATAGAGAGCCAATGGGAATTTGCTGTGTGCCTCAGGGAACTTAAACCGAGGCTCTGTATCAACCTAGAGGGGTGAGATGGGAGGGACATGGGAGGGAGGTTCAATAGGGAGGGCACATATGTATACCTATGGCTGATTCATGTTGATGTTTGACAGAAAACAAATTTTTGTAAAGCAATTATCCTTCAATTAAAAAACAAATAAAATTTTAAAATATATGCTCAAAATCCTTCAAGCTAGGCTTCAGCAGTATATGAACCAATCAGATATACAAGCTGGATTTAGAAAAGGCAGAGGAACCAGAGATCAAACTGCCACCACCTACCGGATCATAGAAAAAGCAAGGGAATTCCAAAAAAAAAATCTACTTCTGCTTTATTGACTATTCTAAAGCCTTTTACTGTGTGGATCACAACAAACTGTAGAAAATTCTGAAAGAGATGGGAATATCAGACCATCTGCCCTGTCTCCTGCAAAACCTGTATGCATGACAACAAGCAACAGTTAGAACCGGACATGGAACAACAGACTGCTTCCAAATAGGGAAAGGAGTACGTCAAGGCTGTATATTGTCACCCTGCTTATTTAACTCATATGCAGAGTATATCATGTGAAATGCCAGGCTGGATGAAGCACAAGCTGGAATCAAGACTGCTAGGAGAAATATCAGTAACTTCAGATATGCAGATGACACCACCCTTATGGAAGACAGCAAAGAGGAACTAAAGAGCCTCTTGATGAAGGTGAAAGAGGAGAGTGAAAAAGCTGGCTTAAAACTCAACATTCAAAAAACTAAGATCATGGCATCTGGTCCCTTTAGGGCAAATAGATGGGGAAACAATGGAAACAAGTGACAGGTTTTATTTTCTGAGGGTCCAAAATCACTGCGGTCAGTGACTGCAGCCACAAAATTAAAAGACGCTTGTTCCTTGGAAGAAAAGCTATGATAAACTAAGCATATGAAAAAGCAGGGACATCACTTTACCACAAAGGTCCATCTAGTCAGAGCTATGGTTTTTCCTGTAGTCATGTATGGATGTGAGATTTGGACCATAAAGAAGGTTGAGCGCTGAAGAATTGATGCTTTTGAAATGTGGTGCTGGAGAAGACTCGAGAGTCCCTTGGACAGCAAAGAGATCCAACCAGTCAACCCTAAAGGAGACCAACCCTGAACGTTCACTGGAAGGACTGATGCTGAAGCTCCCGTACTTCAGCCACCTGGTGCAGAGAGCCGACTCACTGGAAAAGACCCTGATGCCAGGAAAGACTGAAGGCAAAAGTAGAGGAGCGCGGCAGAGGATGAGATGGTTGGATGGCATCACCCACTCAACGGGCATGAGTTTGACCAAACTCCGAGAGACAGTGAAGGACAGGGAAGCCTGGCATGCTGCAGTCCTTGGGGTCGCAAAGAGCTGGACACTTTGTTCCGACTTAGCAACTGAACAATGACAACAACGATATAGATGTTTTACAATGTTGTGTTCATTTCTGCTGTACAGAGAAGTGAATCAGCTATATATATACATGTACCTCCTTTTTAATTTCCTTCCCCTTTAAG